TGGGATCGCTGGTGGTCTGAATGTAGCGCTTCATGGCCGCCGGATTCTCCAGCAGCAGTTGTGTAATATTCTGCGCCGGATTCTGCGTCTTCTCAAAGTATTCGAGGGCGCCCTTGAGGTCGCCCCTCTCACGCAACTCTTGCGCCTTCTGGTAGTACGTGTGCTTCAGATGAATGCGATCCTCGGTCTCGGCCAGATGCAGTGCCTCATCCAGGTGCCCGGTCGATTGGAGCAGCTTGTTGAGCAAATCGAAACGCTTGCATCGGCGGTAGAGGTCCTTGGCTTCCTCAATCATGCCCAGTTCAATGGCCAGCACCGCTACTTTGGCCTCGTTCTCCAGATCATCGTCTTCGATGGCCAGCCGTAGGGCGCGAACGGAGCGGGCTTGCTCCAAGTGGCCCATGCAGACTTTGGCCACATCCAATCGGTTGGTGTGCACGCACATCTTGGCCAGGTTGGTCCAGATCACTTTGGATTGAATGGAGCGAATGCTGCGATACGCCAGGTCCATGTTTCCCTCTGCCACATAGAGACTGAAGTTCAGGACTCGCTTCCGTATGACGGGATCGCATTGCTGGAGGTCCACGAAATCCTGCAGAGGCTGCTCCTCCACAGCATTGATCTTGAGGCGCAGCACATTGGGAACACAGAGGCTCAATAGTTGGGAGCCTGGACTCATGGCTTGAGTCTCAAGGACATTGAGGCATCCTTTCTCCGAATAGAATAAAAGTAATATCTTTGACACAACAAAGTGACTGGGAGAGTTTTTTTGCGGCAGAGTCTTCTGCATTGTGGTCATGGACTTGACCTCCATGGCCAAGAGACGAGGTTCCTCTGCATCCCAGAAAATCCGAACAGGCAGACTGGATGAAGAGCTACTTTCCTGCTCCACCAAATCATATTCAAATAGATTATTGCGCTCAAAGTCCCAGCAGAATAGAGTCGATATGGGTGTAAAATTACTACTGGCTATGACCAAAGCCAAATGGTTGCCCAGACTATTGCACTTCACCAGGATGAATTCTCCGAAGTCATCGAAAATGTCATGTCCGGATTTGCTGGGGAAAAGCAGTTTGGGATCGTGCCTGGAGACATCATAGGCCTTGACATAGCCATTCATGGTGAAAACGGAGAGATAGCAGCCACTCAAATCCATGCCAATGATCTTCCCCTCAATGTCGCTGGCTTGGATGCGATGGAGCACCACTCCGCCCACGGAGTAGACCATGATGTCACTGCTCGCCAGGCAGAATATGTTCTGGTTGTATAGACTCAGGGCCAAACATTCGGCGGGAAAGGTCTGGAGCAGCTTCACACTCAGGGGAGTAGTAGTAGCTGTAGAGGCAGGAGCACTGCCCTCCACTGCCTCCAGAATCTCCTCAAACTCATCCAGGCTCTTCTCCACTTTCTGCAGACTGAAGGACGAGATGCTCCGGCCATTACTCATCACCAGGCTCAGTTCGTTCAAGGCCAAGGCCGTCACTGCGAATTCGGACTGTACAGTGGTCTCGCGACCGCTGCAGTGCGTCAACTGCACCGTTTTCGCTGACCGCTGCACAGCCCACAGTTCGCGGGTATAGAACGCCAGCAGGGGCTGCTCCTTCAGCATGAACACATTGGACAGACAGTTGACCAGCATGCAGGGTTTGGCCAGCTCGTTGAAGCCCCACTCACAGCTCCGGATGGCTCCTCTCACCGCCGATATGTTCGTCAGCTGCCAGGCATCTTCGGGAGCACTGACCAGCCGGCTGCCACTCCGCTTCCAGGTGTACAGATTGCCCTGAGAGGTTCCCGCACACAGCGTTTGACCCGTCGAGCTGTAGGCCAGACAGGTGAACACTTCGCCACTCATCTGACCAAACTTCGGTGTCTTGCGGGGCACACTGCTGCCCTCGGTGCTGTCATGGCTGAAGAATTGGTTCGACGACGACATGGTGCCATTGCTCAAACTGGTCAAGGTTGAACCAATCTGGTTCCCACTGGGCAGATCCATTTTTAGCAGGTAATTGTCACTCCTCTCGATGTCCCAAATGCGCACAAAAAGATCACCTAATGGGGTGGAACTTTAGTTTGGTAGAGTAGGTGCTCTGGCACATGTTTATTACTAACCTGTGATGATGGCCAACGAGTTTCCAGACCAGGCGATGCCTCCCTGTCGACCGCCTCCACGTCCGCTCATCTTGACGCGATCCAGTTCCGTGAGAATGCCCGTGGATTCTACCAAAAACAGAGTGACAGTCAAGTCCTCCATCAGGCAGATTACAGCGTCCCTAAAATTGAATAAGGCAAAGGTCTAAAATTACAGCATTGCATAACATAATAGTAGAAGGAACAAACTATTTTATTTTTTAATTTAAATAAATAATTTTTAATTTAAATAAAATTTTTTAAAGTATCGCATTAAAAATGTTTTGAAAACCTGATCTATTTTTTTAACTATTTTTTTGAAAAATGTTTGAAATTATTATACCTATGATAAATGTGGATTTTTATATTTCTTACATTTAAATTGTAGTATTAGCTCCACGAAAATATAAAATTGTTCATAAGTCAATTCCATATTATTTTTGATTGCTATTTTGATAGGCTAAAATTACTATTATTTTTTACAGTTTACAGTTTAGGTAAACTGCATATTAAAACGTATAATATGGCAATGTTTCTTACTTTTTGGGGTGCCACAACATCTGGACAATGGGCGGCAGGGATCCGCACTTCATGACCTCCACGCAGGCGCCTCCCTGGTTGATGTAGAACACCACTCCTCCCTGGGTGCAGGCGTAGAAGCAGTGGTTGTCCCTCACCCCCGAATGGGTCATGCTCCGGGCCGCAGTTCTGGGCCTCCAGTTGGTCAGGGTGTCCAGGGCGTTCTCGTCCCCGGCCACCGCCGCCTTGGCCAGATTGGCCATCTCCTCGCGTACTTCACTCTCCACCGTGCGACGGAAGCAGATGAGCAGCAGCACCTCCCGCAGGTCGTGGGAGAACATGGTCAGGAACTGGTACTGACCATCGCAGCGCCATCCGGTGACCAAGCCCATGGCATCCGCCGTCACCATCCGTCCGCCCTGTTCGCTGAACTGCAGCAGTACAATGGCCGCCTTATGCGGTGCACTCACGCTGGCGAACTCCCTGTGGCCGGCGAACCACACGTGGATGTCCCCGTGCTCCCAGCCACTGGCCAGCAGCGCCTTCTCCGGATGCCAGCACATTGCCGTCGCCTGCGAGGTGGCGTGCACCGGATAGGTGACATCCCGCTGCGGCTCACCCTGTAAAATGTTTTTCCAGATTATCTCTGTACATTTCTATGGGTTTTTTTTAATAACACTATTAGTAGAGATTAGTACTTACCCCGATCAAAAGACCTACGCAAATGAACTTATGTGCAGAAATTAGTTTATTTTATATTTTTTTTCTTCTTTTTATAATTCTTGGGTAACTTGATCAATTTTGTATGTTGGTTTTAAATTCATGGATAACTTGATCCAAACAAATATAATTACTTTCATTAATCCAAAAAAAATTAAAAATAATTTATTTCTACTGTTCAGAGGTTCTTGATCCAAGCAAAACAAGTTATAGTTTCTCCCTTTTTTTTCCTTTTATTATTTATTTATTTGACTTGATAGCAGTGTAAGTATAACTTGATATTTAATGATTATTTCGGCTCTTGGCTTTTAAAACACTATTTTGTTTACTTTATATTTTATAAAATTTGATTTGTCGACAATGAGGGTTTTCAAGCTGTTGCATTGCAACATTATTGTGTATAGTCTTCAATAACGAAGACTCCATAATGAAAGGATTATGTTATTAAATACTCACAGTATCGGCAAAAATGGTCACAGAACCGCCTCTTTCGGGGCTAAAAGAGGCCACTGCAAAGAGCGGTTCGCTGGGATGCCAACTGCTGATGGTGCTGACAGCATCCGAATCTAGAAACTCTATTTTTGTGTCGAAATACAGTGTCATCTCAATGGTTTTCTCTAAAATGCCGTTAAAAGTTAAAAGCAGAAACCAAAACACTGTGAAAATGGGTTTCTTTAGCAACGGTTGTCAGGGTTGCGCCAAACAAATGGTTCCAAGCCGACATTAAGAGTGATTAAGCCAAAACAAAGAAGTGCAAGTAAATAATCAGTTTCATTTCACCATATATTTGTTATATTAGTGTTTTCTTTGCTCTATGAGTTCACCACTTATCAGATAATGTATACCACTTTAATCGCACTCACCTGCACTTTTCTAAACTAATCTAGAAAGCAAACAAAATGACCTGCAGTTTCTTAAAAAAAAAAACTAGGGTATTTCCCAAGAAATGCGAATTGCAGCTGATAAGCAATAAACAAGAGTAGGCATTGTTTTTGAAATTCGAAATTTTCATTACCTAACGGTTTTTCTCCAGCCCTGGCAGTTTACTGGGCGCCCCTGGCACGTTTAAAAATGCAAAAATAAGTAAGTTAACTATGATAACATAGATAAACACAAGGAATTACATAAAATTTGAATAAATATCAACATTAAATTACGTCAAATTTTCGATTGATTAATCATTCAAAAATTTATTGATAAGTAACTGAAATAAATAAACAAACTGAATTTTACAAGCAAGCTAGAAAATAGATTTAAAATAGCTTCATCATCAATAAATATTTTTTAATAAATGTATATTAATTTAGTTTTCACCATGAAAGATTTTCTTTATTAAGTACATAATAGAACAAAAGTTCCAAGCTAAATTTAATGTGTTAAGGCGTGGTTTTGTAGTAGTGTTTACGCAAAGATGTAAAATAGATCTTTTAAACACTTTCTAAATTCTTTAAGATATATTTGCATGATTAACATTGAAATATTTGGTTTCCGTTTATTTTTTAATTTGTATATTTTGTCCTTTTACAACAATTTAGCTTGAATAGATCCGAATGGTCATCTCTAGAGCTTACCCACACAATCAGCCGTCGCGCATTAGCCCCGTGCACACGCAACACTAGCGCATTCGAATGAAATCACCATCGCAGCCGGCAAACAAAACAGAGAAAACAGAACGTACGCCGATATTGCGACTCATTTGCAGTGTGAATTTCGAAAATGGCTGATCGTCCGTGTGCTGGAAATATGCTCCGCATCGCCGGGGCCGTAATCCTGCCCAATCTGGGCGGGATCTACAATGGGTGGCTGACCAGGCAACACATCCAGAACTGGTACGTTCACCTGAAGTTCCCGTCCTTCAAGCCCCCCAACTGGGTGTTCGCTCCGGTGTGGACCTCCCTCTACGCCGGCATGGGCTACGGATCGTATTTGGTGTGGCGCGATGGCGGAGGATTTGGAGGAGAGGCGGCCAGACTGCCTCTAATCGCCTATGGTACCCAACTAGCCCTGAACTGGGCGTGGTCGCCCATCTTCTTCGGGCAGCACAACATCAAGGGCGTGAGTACTGCTATGGATACGGGTGATATCACCACGGATCATTAGCATTATCATATCTAACCACATCTAATCCATTTGCTGCATTAGGGGCTTATTGACATAGTCGCACTGACGGCCACCGCCGGTTTGTGTGGAGTTCTGTTTTACCGGGTGAACAAAGTCGCCGGACTGCTCTTTGTACCCTATCTCGCCTGGCTGGGATTCGCCACTGCTCTGAACTATGCCGTCTGGAAGCTGAATCCGGATAAGAAGCGGGCCCTGGAGGAGGAGGAGAAGCCCTCCGGCAGTCACGCCAAGGCCAATTAGCCCCCGAAAAGCACTTAAATCCATTTATTTTATAAGATATGTAATGCCTTTAGATGTTATCGAACTAGGGCTGGCCTAGTTGGTTACGATATCGATAAATCATATATCAAAGTAAGCGGGAAATTCAAAATATGTTGTAAACAAACCAAGAATTGTTTTTGTTTTTTTAATTTCTTGTGGAATTAGACAATCAGAAAAACAGAAATTCCATTTTGTTCATAAATAATTAAGTTGATCTTAATTATACATCCTTCGATCTATAGAAATTTGAAGATTTTTGCATATTTTCCGAGGAAGACATGCTGGAATTATTTATATTTCTCAATAATGTTCCTCTGAAGTGATATATGATAATGCTGTTACATAATGATGGTCGATTAAATCGACTTAAATAAGAGAAATAAATTTGTTGATAACCAAGTTAATAGAAAAATAAGTCACATTTGTCTCAAATCGTACACAATTCAAAACGTGTAGCCAATCTAATAAAATATTAAATAAAAAACTGTTTTTTCCAAATGGTTGTGCAAGGATTTTAGAATTATGACCAATTTTTCAATCTTGTTAGAAAATTAAAATATTTTTGCATATTTTAGAGGAAGACATCCTCCGCACTATTAAATCACTGAGGAATATTCCAAAAGATGGTCGTTGTATAATTAATTCGGATTTTTGAAGATGGAGATCATGACTAAATTTCAAAAATAATAATCAAGTTAATTCAAACTAAGTCACATTTGCTTTAGATGATAGGCGAACAATACTAATGAAGTTGCTAGCACATTTTGAAAATTTATAAATTTATTCAAAAATATAATGAGCACAATTTATCCAAAACGTTTAGTACCAGGGGTAAATAGATATTAATTGAAATCGAAAACTGAGTGTGAAAATGCGCGGTAGGTTTGAAATGCAAGGGATCAAATTGAAGAGCATGCTAAAGGCGGGATCAATTGGGGCCTGCAGGAGCGGATGCGGGATTGGGAGGAGTTCCGGCCTTGGGGGAGGTGGCTTTCGGGGTGCCTGCCGCCTTTGGAGAGGGCGTGGTCTTGGGGGAGTTCGCCGCTGGCTTCTGCTGCCCTCCAGTTGCTCCAGTTTGCTTGGGCGGAGAAGCCTTATTTGCCGCTTTTCCCTGTTGTTGTTGCTGTTGATTGGGTGCTTTGGGAGTAGCGGGTTTCCCTGTAGCCTGGGCTGGCTTTGGAGCCACAGCTGGTTTGGCATTTGGATTTGGATTCGGCTGCTTCTGCTGGGGCTTGGCTCCTGCTCCTGATCCTGCTCCTGCTCCTGGTGGTTGCTTCTGCGCCTGCTGCGGCTTGTTGGCTGGCTGCTGTTGCTTTGGCTTCTGTCCACCTGCCTCCTGCTTCTTGGCATTCTGCTTCTGTGGCGGAGTAAGGGCAGCGGGCAATGGCGGTGTGACGGCGGCAGGAGATGGCGGAGTCACAGCCGCCACAGAGGCTGGCATGGAGGTGGGAGTCGTTGGCGGAGTGGAGGGAGCCACTGGGGAGGGCGGAGCCACAGGGGTTGTGGAGGCCACTGGAGCTGGGGGCGTCACTGGCTTGCCAGGTGGAGATCTCTCCTTCTTGGGTGAAGCAGGCTTTGGCGTCTCCGCTGGCTTTCCAGGAGCAGCTGCAGCTGGATCCTTGGGTTTTGCTGGTGCCTCAGAATCCTTTATTTCTGGTGCTTGAGGTTTAGCTGCTTCTGGAGCTTCAGGTTTTGCTACATCTGCAGCTGGTGGTTTGGCTTCTGGTGGAGCTAGTGGCTTGGCTACTTCTGGAGTTGTAGGTTTTGCCACTTCTGGTGCTTGGGGTTTAGTTACTTCGGGAGCTGTAGATTTGGCCACTTCTGCAGCTGGAGTCTTGGCAGCTGCGTCAGCAATCTTTGGGGTTTCAATAGCTTTTATAGCCTCGGGAGCAATCTTTGGTTCTTCTGCTGCCAAAGTAGCCTTTTTGGCAGGTGGCGGAGTCTTTTGTTTTGGTTTCTCTGTTGCATTCTGCGCTGAAATTGCCTCCTTGGGCTTATCCTGGGTGTTTTTGGGAGGAGAAACACTCTTGGGTGGCTGAGCAGTGGTGACTGGTGGTTCAGTTTTAGCTGGAGCAGGCTGCTCTTCAATTTTAGTAGCCGGTTTCTCGGGTGGTGTTGCCTGCTTGGGCGGCTCTGAGGCCACAATCTCGGCAAGAGTCTGGACAGCAGGAGATGGAGCCTTTGTGGGAGTCTGGACAGGAGGAGATGGAGCCTTCTGAGCAGGAGTTGGCGTCTTCGGGGGAGTCTCCGTTGGAGTAGCCTTCGGTGTTTCCTGTTTTTGCTCCGCAGGCTTAACTTCAATCTTTTGCTCCGCCGGTTTTGGTTGCTCCATCTTCTGTTCGGTGACTTTGGGTTGGGTATCCACCTTTGGTTCATTGGCTTTGGGTTGATCAGTCTGCTTGGCTTTTTCAGAGGGTTTCTCTGTCGCCTTGGGTGGCTCTACTTTCTGCTCAGTAGGTTTAGCTTCAGTTTTCTGCTGGTTTTTTGTGGATTTGGGTTGCTCCACCTTCTGTTCAATGGGTTTGGTCTGCTCCGGCTTTGGTTGATCCTGTTTAGGAGCTTCCGCAGTTGGTGCCTCAGCTTTGTTGGCTTGGGGAGCTGGCTGACCTTTGACCTGATCTTTGTTCTTACCCTGCTTGTCTTTGTTGTTGCCCTGCTGATCGTTCTTCTTGTTATCCTTGCCCTGACCCTTCTTGTTGTCCTGTTTCTCTTTGGGTTTCTCGTTGGATTTCTGGGGCTGCTTCTGTTGCTTATCCTTGGGTTTATTCTCCGCAGGAGCTTTTGGTGCCTGCTCCGGCTGTTTGGTGGCCTCCACCTTGGCCACCTCATCGAAATCTCCAACGAGCAGGGGCACATCATCATCCTCCTCGACGGCAATGGGTTCCTCTCCATTGGAGGGAGCTCCCTTCTGATTGTTCATGGCGTTGGCAAACATACGCAGTTGGACGACCGTTTCCTGACCCAACTGGGGTAGGATATCCGGCAGCATTTCGACCACTTTCCGGGTTTCCCCGTGACCCGTGACGGCAAAGGTATTGGCCGAAAGCGAGGCCTGCGCCTTGGGATTGTTGAAGTGAATCACGGTCAGGTCGTCCTTGATGATGTTGACCTCCTCGATGCCCGGAATCGTGCTCACCGATAGCTTCTTGAGCGAGCTCTGCAACTTCTTGTCGTCGGTGGCCGCCGTCTGGTGCATGACCTTCTTCTTGCGCCGCGGAGTTCCCTTTCCCCCGATCCTCACCTGCGCCTGCAAGCGCTTCAGCTTCTCCACATTCATACTTTTGTCTTTTTTTTTGGTCAGCAGAAACAACGGGTATTAATCTCAGGTATATATTACATAAAATTGAAAGAGCAACTCACCTTACTCAATGACCAGCTTCTAGAGACACGATGTGCAACTCCACGGGCGAATTCACGAATGCAGTGGACAGGCCCACCATTCGCCAGTGGAACCACCCGAATCCAACGCAGCCGAGCAGCGCTGCTTTTATTAATATCTACGGCCTGCTCTTTGTTTTTTTTTTTTGCACATTTTTATGTGTTTTCGCAAACGAAATCGGGGAGAAAACAAGAAAAATGTCGCCCCAGTGCTTAAAAATAGCTCCACATTTCCTACACCGATGCTTTCGCTTTGCCATTGCCTCAGTTCAGTTCAGTTTATGCGGATTCTCGGCATGAGGCTGCCCAAGCGGCTGTTGAACCGCAGACGCCTCTCGGTTCGGATGGGATATGGGATGGGATATGGGATAGGATATGGGATGGATGTGCATGTGGATCTGGATGGATGGGAATCGGAATGGTACTCATGACGGGGCGTAGGAATAAGATGGCAAGATGGGAGTCCCGAAAATAGACCGCGCACTTTTCTCGCCTTTTTTTTCTCACTTGCAATGTGGGCTTTTTGATAAGAATTATAACAATATACAAATGTTTTTAAATAATAGAATATTTTGTTTGCTTTTTCTATTTGATTGAATATGATATATATATCTTTTAAATCATATAATATTTGATTCGATTTTCGAATGAATATATATATGAAAATGTTTCGCTCTCAGAATCACTTAAGTGAGGGATGTTTGTTAAGAATTCTCTTGGATGTTATTATTGTTTGTATTGTCTATTGTCTAACAAATATAAAAAAGATGGTATTATATTTTTTTGTTTTTTTTCTTTATACATATATAAGTGAAGGCGGAATGATTTGTGTTTTATTTTGTCCAGCTATATGTTAATGTTTATAATTGGTACCATAGTTTTTTTTGTTGTTGTTTTGTTGTTTTTTCAGGTGAACCATATACAATTTGTTTAGATTTTCAAATGAATATTTATTAAACATTTTGTTTCGCTTTCAGATGTTTGTTAAGAATTGCCTTCGTTGGCTGATTAAAGTCTCTTTTAGCCGAATTGGTTTGGAATTTGAGTGTATATCAGTCATTTCGATGGCCTTGCACACAATCTCGCCGCCAAACTCATTGTATTTAAAGTTGGGGACGAATATATCTGTTAAGTTGAAGGGAATCTTCGATTCAATACGAATGACACCCATTCCTCAGTAGGTTTTAAATTGGGAAATTGTTCGAAAACCTACAGTTTATAATTTAAAATTAAGAAATCGTTTGCAAACATACAGTTTGACACCAAGTTTAAGTTTAATCTATGAGGATGAATAAACAGTTAAAGGGCTATTGCAAATTTAGCAAATCAATCGTTTACGAAAACTTACAGCTTAAAAAAAAACGTTAAGCTGATATTCAGAAACGTTCCGAAATTCAACCTTTCCCGGAATACCCTAATTATCCAATTAACGAAAACCCGTTACCCCGAGCAATCATGTGGAAACTTACAGTTTGAAAAACCGTTAAATCGCTGTTGGAAATTTAGCAATTCAAGCATTCACGGAATATCCCAATTATTGGAATAAAAGTTGTCCCCCGAAAAGGGTCACACTTTTCCCAGCAGCTGTAGATCAGCAGGCGTGCGTTTGATTTGATTTGTTTTGATTTTGATTTCGATGTTGCTCCGGAGATGTTTCCTGTTTCCGTTTTCCGCCAGCCGCCTGGCGGTTCGCCGGAGCCTGCACATTGTGCTCCATCCGGAGATTCGGCAGGCGCTGCAGCACCAAAAGCCAGTGGTGGCCCTGGAATCCACGATCATAACGCATGGAATGCCGATGCCGGAGAATGTCCTCACTGCGTTGGCGGTGGAGGAGCAAGTGCGTCTTAATGGAGCCATACCCGCCACCATTGGAATACTGGACGGTCGGATCAAGGTGGGCCTGACGCGCGAGGAGCTCACCACGCTGGCCAAGAAACCCCGCGAGCAGGTGATCAAGTGCTCTCGCAGAGATCTGCCGTTTGTGGTGTCCCGTCGACAGAGTGGGGGCACCACTGTGGCCGCCACCATGCTCATTGCCCATCGAGTGGGAATCCGGGTGTTTGCCACCGGCGGAATTGGCGGGGTACATCGCGAGGGTCAGGAGTCGCTGGACATTTCCGCCGATCTCACCGAACTGGGTCGCACTCCGGTGGCCGTCGTCTGCAGCGGCGTCAAATCCATACTGGACATTCCCCGCACCCTGGAGTACCTGGAGACTCAGGGCGTTTGTGTGGCCAGTTTCGAGAGTCCCGGTGGGGTGTTTCCGGATTTCTACACACGTGATAGCGGTTGCAAGGTGCCCTATAACCTAAGTAGTGCCAAAGAGGCGGCGGAGCTGTTGCGATCCTGGGTAGAACTGAAAATGGAGTCGGGACTGCTGATTGGAGTGCCCATTCCCGAGGAGTTTGCTGCCGAAAAAACGAAAATTGAAGAGGCCATCAAAGAGGCATCTTCGCAGGCCAAGGAACAGGGCATTTCTGGCAAGGATGTGACTCCATTCCTGCTGGCCGCCATAGCCAAAATCACCGAGGGAAAGAGCCTTAAGTCGAACATAGCTCTGATCAAGAACAATGCCAAAGTGGCTGCTCAAATTGCAGCCTCGCTTTGCGAGGTGTCCACAAATCAGGAGAATCCAGCTCAGAAAACCTTCGAACGCAAGCCACTGGTTGTGGGAGCCTCCATTCTGGATCTCTCTTTCAGAGTAGATGACCACAATCGCGACATGAAGCTGGATGGAGCCACCTACTCGGCGGTGGCCACACAGGCAGCTGGCGGAGTGGGTCGCAACATTGCGGAGGGCATTTACAAATTGTACGGGGATGTGAACCTCATATCCGCCGTGGGCAACGACCAGATGGGCCAAACGCTGCTCCAGATGATGCCAAAGGCACTGCAGCGTGGTCTCATCCTAGCCGATAGCCATAACACCTCATTGTGCTCGGTGATCTTCGATAAATTTGGCGATTGTAAGCTTATCCTGGGCAGCATGGAAATCCACCAGAGCATTACGCCGGAAACGCTTCAGGCGCACCACCAGCTCTTCCGGGAAGCACCGCTCATCATCATGGACAGCAACATCTCGGAGCAGGCCATGGCCAGCATACTGCAGCAGGCGCAGATGAACAAGATTCCCGTCTTCTTCGAGCCCACGGATATGTTCATTGCCGGCAAGCCATTCAAACTGCTGCCCGAGTTGACAAAGAACATACGCCTGATAAAACCGAATCTCCAGGAGCTGAAGACCATCACAGAGGCCATCACCGGGCAGCAGGTCAATTGGAATCCAGACACAGACACCAAGCTGCCACAAGCGGAACTGCTGCAGCAGGCGAAAGCCATGATTAAGAAAATCGACGGCCACTTTAACTGCATCATAGCCACGTTGGGCGACCACGGGGTGCTGCTAAGCTATCGCCAGGATGCGGACAACGATGCCAGGCTGCTCCTGGACGTGAGCAAAGCCACACCGCCGCACTGCACTCGCTTCTATGCCGCTCCCATGGTGCACAGCATTGTCAACGTGTCGGGGGCCGGCGATAGTTTCTGTGCGGGATTCATCACTGGCCTGCTGCGCGGGCGCATCCTAGATGAGTGCGTAGCCGCTGGTTTTGTGGCCGCCGAGAAGGCCCTGCAATCCGAGTCAGCGGTTCCGCACACCTACTTTTCCAATGCGGAATCCTTTGAGACTCGCTTCAAGCAAACTGTGAAGATCTTACAACAGCAAAGCATTTAGACGAAGAGAACACGAAGGCTTTTACTCAGGACCTTTGCTTTATTCCTAAGTTCCTTAGTATTTTCTTAAGTGTACCAGTTGAAGATGTGTCTAGTAGGCCCATCTGAAAGATGCAATTAAACCGATTAATATTGTTAAAGCAATATGTTTAGTTAATATGACTTACAGCTTTATGACTTTGTCCTTGCCTCCAGAGGCAACGCGAGAGCCATCGGGCGCCCAGTCCACTCCAAACACCTCATCCGCATGTCCAGGCAACTCCTGCGCCAGCTTCTTGGTTTGTACACTCCAAACTGAATGAATTTTAATGGGTTAAAAAATGCAGCCACAGTTTGGATACATTACTTACCCTTCAGCGTGGAGTCCTTGCTGCCGGAAACGATCAAGCGGGAGTCCGCCGACCAGGCCAACGTGTATACAGCCTGCACATGACCCCGGAAGGTGGCCATGTACTGACCATCTGCTGCCCGCCACAGACGCACCGATTTGTCAAAGGAAGCCGAGGCTATCAGCTTAACATCCGGTGAATATTTCACATCGTTGACCACATTCTGGTGGCCTGTCATGCGCTCCACACACTTGTTCTGGTTGTTGCGCCACAGGTAGAGTGTGTTGTCATCGGAGCAGGAAACCAGGGACTCCACTTCATCCGGGCAGACGGCTTGGTAGCGCTTCAAGGCGGACTCCTGCAGCTCTTCAGCTATAAGAATATTTTTAAGATAGTTTTATAATATTAAATTAAGAAGTAATCAATTCTTACTACTCAGGCTGAGGTTGCTCTTGGAGCGATCCTTCACCGGATGGAATGGACCCGTACGCAGAACGTAGTCCGTGCTGAGGGCAATGTTGTTAACCCAGTGGGCGTGGCCAGAGAATGTGCGACATAGGATACCATCAGCAGAGCGCCACATCTTCACAGTGCGATCCTTGGACGATGTGTAAATAAGACCTGCTCCTCCCCAGCGCACGGCAGTGACGGCATTCGTGTGTCCGGCAATGTTCATCAGGCACTGGCCCAGTTTCACATCCCAGATCCGGCAGTCCCCATCTCCGCTGGCGGAAGCAAGTCTCCGGCACTCGGGATCCCGGTGATACGGCTCCCAGGCGAGGCAGTTAATGTGCTTTTTGTGTCCACTCAGGGGGCGACCCTTCTGCTGGCCCGTCTCCGGATCCCAGATGATTATGGAGCCAGCTTTGCAGCCGCTGGCCAGGCGTTTGCCATCTGGAGCCCAGGCGACGCACAATACCCACTGCTTGTGACCCGTGCAGGTGAAGTGGGGCGTCTCAGTGTTCAGATCCCACAGTCGCACTGTTGTGTCGCCACTACCGCTGGCCAGATGTGCTCCATCCGGGCTGAAATTGAGGGAAACCACTGCCTCCGCGTGTCCTGGCATGGAACTCGTGCATCTCGTGACCGGACGCACTTTGAAAACCGCCTGCGGCTGGTACACAATGTCGATCACGTTCTCCGTGTCCACGGACGCCAAGTCCAGTGTGTCCTCCAGGCTCTTCTTGATCTCATCCTCGCCCACGAAGAACAGATACGGAGTGGCCTCCTCGTTTTTCAGCAGGGCATTGCAAATCAAGCCCAGTTGCTGCGTGGTAATCCCTGCTGGCAGGTCGATGGGCGGCCCCGCCTCCTCGCCTGTGTCCGAAATGAGGCGCGCCTGTATCGTGTGGGGCGTGGCCTGCGGCTCAGAGTCCGCTTCCACCTGCATTTTCTGTTTTTTGGCCAACATCATTCGCAGCAGCTCAATAAGTGGACAAAACAAAAATAAACACGTGCCGCGAGTTCTCTGTTAGTGATGAGACAATCACTAGAAATCGCACTGGCGCAATACTATCGATTAATTTTCGATGCTAATACACAAATTTTAAACCAAACCTTTTTTCCTAAATTTTTTGTATAAAAAGCATTTAATTTAAATAAAACGATTACCTACAAAAGTTTAAATAATATAATTATAAACATATATTAATAATTCTTGGAATCAGAACTGGGTTAGCATTTTATCTTTATCTATTTTATAGATATGATTTTATTTGATAGGTATTAAATCTAGCTATTTTTTGATTGGCCACATTCAGTTAGCCATTTCGATAATAGCTAGTAATATTGCCACTGTCGACTTATTGCAAAAAGACCATCTCTAAGATCCAAAGATTTTTCATGTACGCGTCTTGATTGAATTTTTTAAAAATGGAAAATATTCCGCGAACACATGAAGGTAAGCCAAATAAACGAGTACCATGGGTAACCACCGTCTCCTGGTACATAGGAACACCAAGTTTACCCACCGGAAGCACCGGCAAATGCCAATTTGGAACCACCGGTTTTCCTGGCTGGTGGTCTTATGAAAATCAATTTACTTGAATAAAAACTTTTTCCCACAGACATCGAGGCACAGATCAGCGTGATCCAGGAGAAGAAGACGGAGCTGGCCAAGACCACTGCTGCGGCAGCCGGCGTGGGATTGCTGGGCAGCGGTGGCTTCTTCGACAGCGACCTGTACGACGATGAGGCGAAGACCAAGGGGAAGCAGGGGCGCTACGAGGGCTACAACACCTCCATTGCGGCCAACGATGCCGAGGAGGCGGACGAGGACGAGGAGGACGACGGCTTTCCGGTGCCCAAGAAACGCACCACCTACACGGCGCCCACTTCCGTGCTGAAGGACGTGACCCAGGGCAAGGAGGATGTGGATCCCATGGCGGATCGCCGGCGTCCCACGATTGCGGATCGTGAAGATGAGTACCGGCAGAAGCGTCCTCGCATCATCATCTCACCGGAACGAGCGGATCCCTTTGCCGATGGCGGCAAGACGCCGGATGTGGGCTCTCGCACCTACACGGATATTATGCGGGAGCAGATGCTTAAGGGCGAGGAAACTGAGCTGCGGCGCCGCATCCTGGAGAAAACCAAAGAGGGCACTCTGGTCAAGTCCGCCTCCTCCTCCGCATCGTCGTCGTCGTCTGCCAATGGGGAGTCTGCTGCTCCCAAGGACGGCGGCAGGAAGCGAGGCAGATGGGATCAGACCGTAAGCGACAGCTTTATTCCGGCCAAGGTGGCCACGCCCAGCAGCGCCGCAACGCCTACTTGGGAAGATGTGAGTAGAAATTAACTTAACCAATTTCACAATTTTGGAAATATCACATTTTATACTCTTAATGTATAACTAATCATAAATGTTCTTCCACAGAAAACTCCCGGAGACCATCGTTGGGATGAGACTCCGGGACACAAGGGCAGCGAGACGCCGGGAGCGACTCCAGGCCTGGGCACCCGCATCTGGGACGCCACACCGGCTCACGCCATGACGCCGGGTCATGAGACGCCCGGACACGAGAAGTCCGCGCGGAGAAATCGCTGGGATGAGACGCCAAAGACGGAGCGCGAGACTCCCGGACACAGCGGATGGGCCGAGACCCCGAAGCCGGATCGCACAGGAAGCGGAGCTGGTGGGGAGAGCATCTCCATTGAGTCTACGCCGGGAGCCTCCAAGCGACGCTCCCGCTGGGATGAGACCCCATCGAATGCTACGCCGGCTATAACGCCCACAAATGCGAATGCCATGACCCCGAATATGACGCCTAGCATGACGCCACATGCAACTCCGGGACATGCTACGCCTATGCTGACGCCCGGAGGCAGTACACCCATTGGAGTCAAGGCAATGGCCATGGCCACCCCATCGGCAGGAGCACTGGCGGCCATGACGCCCGAGCAGCTGCAGGCCTATCGCTGGGAAAAGGAGATCGACGAGAGGAACAGGCCCTACACCGACGACGAGCTGGACCAGATCTTTCCGCCTGGCTACAAGATTCTACCCCCACCGGCGGGCTATGTGCCACTACGCACTCCCGGCAGGAAGCTGATGGCCACACCCACGCCAATTGCTGGCACACCAGCCGGATTCTTTATTCAAGTGGAGGATAAAAATGCTAAGTTCATGGATAACCAACCAAAGGGGCAGAATCTGCCGTTTATGAAGCCTGAGGATGCGCAATATTTCGACAAACTTCTGGTGGACGTCAACGAAGATGCTTTGTCGCCCGAGGAGCTCAAGGAGCGCAAGATCATGAAGCTGCTGCTGACCATCAAGAACGGTTCGCCGCCCATGAGAAAGTCTGCTTTAAGGCAGATTACAGACAAGGCCAGGGAATTCGGAGCAGGTCCTTTGTTCAACCAAATCCTACCGTTGCTCATGTCGCCCACTTTGGAGGATCAAGAGCGGCATTTGCTGGTCAAGGTGATCGATCGCGTTCTCTACAAACTCGATGATTTGGTGCGACCGTATGTGCACAAGATCTTGGTGGTCATAGAACCGCTCCTGATTGATGAAGATCATTATGCTCGCATAGAGGGCAGGGAAATCATTTCTAATCTGGCCAAGGCCGCCGGTTTGGCCACCATGATCTCCACCATGAGACCGGATATTGACAACATCGATGAGTATGTGAGAAACACCACAGCGCGAGCCTTTGCCGTTGTGGCTTCAGCTCTGGGAATTCCCTCCCTGTTGCCCTTCTTGAAAGCCGTGTGCAAGTCGAAGAAATCGTGGCAGGCACGTCACACGGGCATCAAGATTGTGCAGCAGATAGCCATCCTAATGGGCTGCGCCATATTGCCCCATCTGAAGGCGCTGGTGGAGATCATCGAGCACGGTTTGGTGGATGAGCAGCAGAAGGTGCGCACAATTACGGCCTTGGCCATTGCTGCTTTGGCGGAGGCTGCCACTCCGTACGGCATTGAATCGTTCGATTCCGTGCTGAAGCCCCTTTGGAAGGGTATTCGCACCCATCGCGGCAAAGGTCTGGCCGCCTTCCTGAAGGCAATTGGCTATTTGATTCCCCTGATGGATGCCGAGTATGCCAATTACTACACCCGTGAGGTGATGTTGATCCTCATCCGTGAGTTCCAGTCGCCGGATGAGGAGATGAAGAAGATCGTACTGAAGGTGGTGAAGCAGTGTTGCGCCACCGATGGTGTGGAACCGCAGTACATCAAGGAGGAGATTCTGCCGCACTTCTTCAAGTTCTTTTGGAACCATCGCATGGCGCTGGACAGACGCAACTACCGCCAGCTGGTGGACACCACCGTGGAGATTGCCAACAAGGTGGGCGCCTCTGAGATCATAAATCGTGTGGTGGATGACCTCAAGGACGAGAACGAACAGTACAGGAAAATGGTGATGGAAACGGTCGAGAAGATCATGGGCAATCTGGGAGCAGCTGACATCGACTCGCGCCTGGAGGAGCAACTCATCGATGGCATTCTGTATGCCTTCCAGGAGCAGACCACCGAGGATGTGGTGATGCTCAATGGCTTCGGCACCATTGTCAATCAGCTGGGCAAGCGCGTCAAGCCCTATTTGCCGCAGATTTGCGGTACGATTCTCTGGCGTTTGAACAACAAATCCGCCAAGGTGCGTCAACAAGCCGCGGATCTGATCTCCAGGATAGCGGTGGTCATGAAAACGTGTCAGGAGGAGAAGCTAATGGGACATCTGGGTGTTGTGCTGTACGAGTACCTGGGTGAGGAGTACCCCGAGGTCTTGGGCAGCATCCTGGGAGCCCTGAAGGCCATTGTGAACGTGATTGGCATGACCAAGATGACGCCTCCCATCAAGGATCTGCTGCCCCGGCTCACACCCATCCTAAAGAATCGTCACGAGAAGGTGCAAGAGAACTGTATCGACCTGGTGGGCCGCATCGCGGATCGAGGACCAGAGTATGTGTCTGCCCGCGAGTGGATGCGCATCTGCTTTGAGCTCCTGGAACTGCTCAAGGCCCACAAGAAGGCTATCCGGAGGGCCACGGTCAACACCTTCGGCTACATAGCCAAGGCCATTGGTCCCCACGACGTCCTGGCCACTCTGCTGAATAATCTGAAAGTGCAGGAGCGTCAGAACCGCGTCTGCACCACGGTGGCCATTGCCATTGTGGCCGAGTCGTGTCGTCCTTTCACCGTGCTACCTGCGCTGATGAACGAGTATCGTGTGCCCGAGCTGAACGTTCAGAATGGTGTCCTCAAGTCGCTGTCCTTCCTCTTCGAATACATCGGTGAAATGGGCAAGGATTACATATATGCTGTCTGCCCGCTCCTGGAGGATGCCCTCATGGATCGAGATCTGGTGCACAGACAAACCGCCTGCTCGGCCATCAAGCATATGTCTCTGGGCGTCTATGGCTTCGGCTGCGAGGATGCTCTAACGCATCTCCTCAACTACGTGTGGCCCAATATATTCGAAACTTCCCCGCATCTTGTGCAGGCCTTCATGGACTCCGTGGATGGATTGAGGGTTTCGCTGGGACCCATCAAGATCCTGCAGTACACGCTGCAGGGACTTTTCCATCCAGCCCGCAAAGTGAGGGATGTCTACTGGAAGATCTACAACTCGCTGTACATTGGAGGTCAGGACGCACTGATTGCCGGGTATCCGCGGATTACCAACGATCCGAAGAACCAGTACGAGCGGTACGAACTGGACTATGCGCTCTAAGTTGTAACATCTAGCAAGTAGATTCGTTAAGATACAAATATATCAATTCAAACTATAGCAGAGTATGTTTTTCTCATCTTTGCCGTCGCTAATCCGAACTTAAAGCATTACAAAGCATGTTTGTCGTTCTAATCGCATGCGATTTACTATCTTTTATCAGATAAGATGGGTATTTATTTAATGTAAATATTTACTGTCCGTCTCAACTAGTCGAACAGATAATGCAATGACAAATCATACGGTTTTTATTATTTCATGGAAACCAGATACTAGATATTTAATATCCCCCAACATCCAGCACACACTAAACTACATTAGAAATGTGTAAAAAACCGGGTTTTATTCTACGTTTAGAGTAGCTAGCCAACTACTGTGGACTAATCTTTTGGCTTCGGCAATAATACAAAAGTGTCTCACTGCAATGAGAGATTGGAGCAACTGCATCGAGTACATCTTTGGGTGGTCTTGGTCCCGTTGCATAATCATCGGTGGAGTATTGACTGGACAACTTCTATCAGGCTCCTCAGGCCGAACAGATAGTTCTCGTCTGGCAGGGCCTGATCCGCTGGATAGACATGAGCAAAGTCGATCATTCTGACCCGCACCCAATTGGAAGGGTCATCATCTTTTTCGAGGCGGTGGTGGCCATTGAGCAGGGACTTTTGGGGATTGGGATTCGCCAATCTCGAGTAATCGTAGCAGATGAGCAAAGAACTGGCATAGAAATGCAGTAGGCGCTGCCTTTGGAACCAGGAGAGGATTGCCTGCAGTTGGCGGAGCACTTCCTTCAGCAGCAGCTCCGTGCCGACTCTTCTGGTCTTGGAATCACTTGTGCTGGCATTGAAAAACAAGGCCATGGTCTGCTTGAAGCCCTCCACATTCAAGCTCTTGCCATAATCCTTGCCATGTCGCAGGATTGTGGGATGCTCCTCCTCCTCCTCCTCCCCATCCTCCTTGGCATCCTTGGGAAGGTACACCTGGAAGCCTGGCAAACAAAGGCCCAGCTTTTGCTTGCACATCACGTACTTGGCCTCCTCCAGTTTTCGCTTGTTCGGCGAGGATTCCGGGTCCCAGGTTCGTTTACCCATCTTCACATCCATGACGCATGGCTGGCACATCCCACGCGTAAGATCTTCCAGGCGGAGGAACGTGCGTTCGCGCCGATTCACAACCAGTTTCAGGGGGCCGTAAAATCGGGGGACGTGACCGCGGAGCAGGGCAAGGTCATTATCACCTGAAGCACCTGCCGCTGCGAGTGACTCATAGAAGCGCAGCTCCCGCTCGCCGCACTCCGGTTTGCCCATGGGCTTCAGCACGCATCCGGCGGTGGGATCCTGCAGCAGACCCACTGCATCCGCGTTGGACTCCTCGAATGTGTGGCCGGCCACCTGTGTCTTCAGCTGGCGGAATCCCTCGGGCATTGCCGGCTGCTTCCTGGGCGGTGACAGCTCCTTCAGCTCATTCTTGGCCATGGGTCCGAGTCAGAGTCCTTGGTGTCGCGTTATATTCGTCTTTTATCTCGAAACAGGAGGAGCAACACCAGCGACGGCGGCGATCAGAATGCCTGTGCAAATCTCGCGCAGAAAATGTTGCGCGCACTTAATGCTGAATTAGTGATGCCAGACCGGTTCCCTTCCCGCCGGATCTGGCTTGTTTTGGCTTTTATAAGCGTCATAGTATTCATAGCTAATTTTAGCTATATTGAATTAATGCTAACAGATGTCAGTGTTGCTTGGAGTTGAGCTGTCGATCAGTTGAGCAAGAATGTGAATAAAAAATATTTTAAAAAGTAAAATTAAATGCTTATTTATATTTATTAACTATATGGACTTAAATATTTGCTAGATTTATCGCTATAGGCTACTTAGAATTTCATGAACTATACCATTTTCAATAAAGCTAAATCTAGCCTTAAACAGGCTAAACTTGTAGCACTGACAGCTAAGACAACTTTTCTCACAGACTTAGTTAGCCGTTTTCAAGCTAACGAATACTAAGAGCCACAGGTGGCAGCACTACCCAACGTCCAGTTCCAGTGTTGCGTAAAGCCAGAAAACTAGTGCTGCAAAGGGCACGCGTTCTTTTAATTTGTTGCTAATGTTTTTTTGGGAGTGGTTGTGTTTGTTAATTTAAAGCGTTTATTTACCTGCAGCTAATCGGTTGTTTATCGATCAAGATAACTTAAGATATAACCGATGAAATCCTGGGAGATAGCCCTGGTGGCGCTTGCCGCCGTTTACTTGTGCTCGCAAGGTGAGTCTTCAGTTTTGAAGCCCGACTTTGGGCCACGCCTAAATATTATTTTCTTTTTGTATTACACAAATAAAAAATATATTTTTAGTGAACTTTGTGGCTGGATTGGAGTGCTATGTGTGCTCCAACCAGACGGGCAATACGGAGAAGTGCCTGAACACCATCAAGACCTGCGAGCCCTTCGAGAATGTCTGTGGCACTGAAATCCGCTGGGGCTCCCAGCCGTATTTCTCGGAAGGAGCCCTCAAACAATACTATGTGTCCAAGCGATGCATGACCAAGGAGCAGTGCCAGTCCAAGAGGAAACGATACATGCAGCTGTACTGCACCCACATCTGGTACGAGGATTGGGCCTGCAACGAGTGCTGCCAGGGAGATCGGTGCAACTACTTCGTGATTGTGGGTAGAAATGAAGTTAAATAAGTTATAATATCTAATCCTAACATATTACAGAGTGGCGCTACCTCAAGACAAAGTTATGGAGTCGGTTTGACCCTGGTAATCACACTTTTAGGGCTGGGATCCTGGCTGATTCCACGCTCCTAGCCTCGAACGGCATTATAAGAACGCTCCGATGTATTAATTCGACAAATCACTCCGTAAGCTAAGTAGATTACACAGTCCATTTGTTTAGTATACCGTCCAAGTGCCTTGAAGTTACAGAGTAGACTTATATCAAATACTTTACAAACTCTACGTATCATTTCTTCATTGCAAACATTTCCTCTAACAAGTTATAAAGTAGACTCTTATTTCGAATATTTTACAAACTCTTAACGAACACTTAAATTTTTTAACTAGAAACATTGCCCCTACCATATATATTTTCTGTATTTTTATGTATTTTTCTATGCTGTCTAAAATGACATTCCCGTTTAATATCTCAATTTTGTGAGGCATTACATCTCGAAACATTTCCAATACCGAATAATTTGTTTCTATTCTTTCATTCCATTTTTTTGAGATAATAAACATATCAAATTTGATTAGACTGCATTTGGCTTTATAAAGCAATAAAATTTCGTGATGCTTGCAGAAAATTCTACTTATTGATTAAAGTAAAATATGATAGGGAAATACTTTTTAACACAGTACTTTAAATGTCCTGTCAAGCTCAACATATCCTTCGTAAACATGTCTATATATACTGTAAGACCTGAACAATGCCTTATTTATGTATGAAACCTAATCCAAATTGAATCTCCTCTCTGCAATAAAGCAACTTTGACGTCTTTTTGGCGCTTTAATATATAGAAATATTACACATTCACACATCGGCAGTTCCTCATCGTTTCTCAATCACTTGGCGCAAAAGCAGCCGGCGTTTACGGTGACGGTTTTGAACTGCCACGATTGCTCGTTGCTCATCCAAGAGTTGGCATGTTCATGGTCCGACTGTAGACCCTGTGCCAGTACCTTAACCTTGTACTCCAGTGGCCTGCAGTGGGATCCATGGGTGCACTTGACCAAATCCCGTCCGGAATGCGATTCGCAAACAGCATTCATCAGGTAGCGAGGAAAATGCAGTCTGCCCAGATCCAAGAGTTCGTTCTAGATGGGATTAAATGAAAGCTGTAAACATCCACTAATTATTGCTGTGACAGCAAGCAAACAAACCGTGACTTTACAATCGCAGCCAGTGGAATGGACATCGTTGCGTTTGGTGGTCAGCAAATCCTCATAGAAATCGTTGTAATACATGGGCGGCAGCTGATGTGGCACCGCCATCGCAATCTCTGTGGGATGTGGAGTACTAGGACCAAAACCGAAAAGAGCACTCAGCATTTTGGATGAACTGCTGCGATCGGATTGCTGCTCCTCCGCCTGCTGTTCCAGACATTGCGGTTCGCAGCTCCTTAGACCCACCAACTCATCGAAGACTCCATCGCTGGAGTATAGATTGGCATATCCTTTACTAGCCAGGCTAAGTAGCGCCAGCGCTGTTATGGAAATTGGCAACTTGGGAAGGAAAGAGAGGTAAATTTACTATCCATGTTAATTAAGATTTCAGATGACTTACCCACGGCATCCTGCTCGATCTGTGCTTGTCCAGGGCTGAACTCCTTCTGCGGCTCTGGCCAAGAAGCCACCGCACTTTTATACCCATTTAGGACAAAGGTCGCCGCTCGGATTACCTTTTGTGGCTGGGCAGCAGCAGCCAAGCAGCATCCATTACGGTCCGTCACCTGGACAGGATGAAACAATGGACATTCAACAGTTGACACACCACAACAATGGCAACAAACCACGCCAGGCTCAAGTGGCCCACTGGCTGATGGGGTTGAGTCGTTCGGCTATTTATACTTTTTTGCGGCTTTCAATGGGGAAATGGCTTTAAGGCCTCAAGTGCCGCCAGAGGTGTAGGTGGCTCTGGGTGTGGAAGTGGGAGTGGCAGTGCCCAAAGGAAGCCCACTGACCCAGACATGTGTGTATACTGAACGCAGGCAATCTGATCCCCGCCCAATGATGACATTGACCAGGGTGGGTTTTTTGGGTTCCGAAATAGCTCCGAAAACGTTTTACTGTAGCATACTTTTGGGTAAAATGGGCTTGGTTTCAATGGATTTCCGATTGAATTTAAATTTTCCGGAATTTCCTTCTGCAGAGGAAGCAACTTATGTTGTAGATTTCCAATCAGTTTCATTCAATTTGATAGTATTTTTCAATTGAAAAAATTATATAATTTCAATACTAAATAGTATAACCCCTATACTTTTTAGTTTCATTTCTATATCGATGTCTAAAACTGTAGTATTATTAAACCACATAAGTTTATTTATTAATATTTTGTACCCAATAATTTTAAATTAATGTAAAATAGTTTAGTTTCTTTGACAATTTTTTTAAAGAAGGCTAAAAAGTTTAGAGGTACTATGTTTACTTTAACAATATTTCCAAATTCCATCCTCCAACGCCTCCTTCCGCTCGCTCCCACTATGAGCTCACTATGCCTTCCATTTTGGCCAACTCGGGTCAGGTGCAGCGCCTGTGGCATAACGAACTGCGTCCGGCTAGAACGACTGGCCAAGAGGCTAGACCGGGTCAGACCTTTGGGCTGCAGACGACTATAGTCTATGGAATAGACCTCTGCTCGTAGGGAGCCCGCGAGTGTGTGAGAAACAGTGGACTCGGGGCGACTTCTAGGGCTTCTGTCGACGGGTAGCACGCACTACTGTCACTGTCCGCTGTGGACATCCAAATCCTCCTCAGTCGAATTCGCGTCGTTGAGGCAAGAGCATTGCCTGTGCCACACAGTTTGACATGCACAGCGGGAAAATCTGACTGCCCAATAGCCATCAAACTGCTAAAATCGAGTGTAACAAGAAGACGGAAATCCGGAGGAGATGTTGCTTCCTCTGGTGGCGGATTTATGCTGAGCTCTGCATTTCTGGGGAGACTCCATCCGCTGTTGTTGTTGTTGTACAGTTTTTCCGCAGTCGAATTTGTCGAAGCGGAAAAGCGAAACGAAGCATCGCCGCGAAGCCCTCGAAGTGTCGACGAAAATCGTTAAAAAATAGAAAAACACTCGGCGACTATGTCACGACGGGCTTGAAGACCCCCGCCTCCCCCCATTTCCATCCATCCGCACTAGGGAGATATTGAGATTGAGCGAGATCCAAGCCGCAGTGGTGGCCACCACCTCACCACCTACTCCATCCATCTAATCTCATCCACACCCAACTCAGGATTCGCATGGACAAAGGCACAATGAAGCGCAAGCAGAGGCGATACAGGTAGAGATCTTCTACGATATATATATATATATATAGTTCGCTTAAAGAAATAAACTTCTTTTAAATAAATAACATTTTAACTTTTTATTTATTTGGAAAATGAGACTAACGGATAAAGAGACTGCAAATATTTTAAATACATTTTTAAGAAAATTATGTTTTAAAGTAATGTTTTAAGCTTTTGACAATAACTACATATATGTAAGCTCTAAATATAGTGCGGTTTATAAGACGAGTTAATCTTTTAAAATTGCATTAAACTTAGGTAAAAATTTTTAATTTATTTAATTTGCCTTTATTAATCATATTGTTTGCATTATTATACTCAACAAATTTTTAATCTTTCAAGCATTACGTGTATAACTTTATATTTAAAGTAATCAGAAATTGAAAATAAAACTACTCTTATTAGCCATGTTTACTTTGCACATTTGTTAATAAACAATTGAACTGTCTGATCGCCACAGAACCACCTTCAACACGCTGCAGCTGCAGGAGCTGGAGAGGGCATTCCAGCGCACCCACTATCCGGATGTGTTCTTCCGCGAGGAGCTGGCCGTTCGCATCGATTTGACGGAGGCACGGGTGCAGGTGTGGTTCCAGAACCGACGGGCGAAGTGGCGAAAGCAGGAGAAGATCGTCGGTCCGGGCGGGGAGTACAAGGAGGGAGCGCTGGATCTCGATGTGGCCTACGACGATAGTGCTGTACTGGGTCAACTGGATAGTGCGCTGGGTAGGATTCTCGAAAGGATTTCAGCGAGTTAGTTTATAATAAGTATATGTTTCAGGTGGTGGGGGCAACCTACTGCCGGATACTCCACCGCAGTCCTCCAACTCCCTGGACAACGAACTCAAGGCTTCCTACGGCACTGGAGCCATGTCGCCCTCCCGCCTGTCGCCAAATATTTTCCTCAACCTCAACATTGACCACCTGGGACTGGAGCGAGGTGGCAGTGGGCTCTCCATGGAATGGTCCACCTATCCACCGCAAACGCAAGCGCAGACACAACCGCAGATGGACCCGGAAAATCAACTTCAGCAACAGCAGCACCCGCCACAACAGATGCAAACCCAGTCGAATCCTCATCAGCAACATCAGCAGAATCAGCAGAATCAGCACCATCACACTGGTAAAAAAAAACATAGTTAGTCCATGTATTTCGTACTCGATTGCAGTTGGAACATTTTTTTCCAATATTCATTGTGTGCTGTTGTTAGTGTTTTTGGAATAGATTTTATTAATTTAATTTTCATCCATTGCGATTTTTAGCCATTTTAAGTATTGACATCTAAATCTGTTTTTTCATTTCACTATTTTTGGAATAGATTTTAATATCTGACAATAGAAACTAAATTAAAGTATTAAAGTCTTGAAATATTTTTGCCTTTAATTTTAGTTCACTGCAGTTTTTAGTTATTTTAAGTTTGGAAACCAGATATTTTTTTTTTGTTTTCATATTAAACATTTAGGTCAAATTTATTTTAATATATTATAATTTTAAATTACATTATGATTTTATGTACTATTTAAATATGAAATATTCAATTTGAAATGAACTATTCAGATATTTATTTTTATTATTACATTTTTTTCATCAGTGCAGGGTCTGGAATTCGCCGCCTCCTTGAATCTGGACATGACCACCGATGGCTCCTCCGGCTACGATGACATGAAGTTCCTCAGCGTGGACGTGGACCAGTTCACGATCGACAGCTTCAAGGCGGACTGCATCCTCAGCATGGAGCAGTCGCAAATGCAGCCCTATGTGGGTCACTCCCAGCTGGTTGGCTCCTCCAATGAACTGTGCCTGGAGGGGATTGGCATATCCGCCTTTGGCATGGAGGAGGGCGATCCAAAGACGCCACCCTCACTCTTGGTGCTGGATAAGACGCTGCCCTCGTTGAGCATTGGCGTGGAGGGAATCGTTGATCTTGTGGAGCAACTGCATCATCATCACCAGCATGAAGGCGGTTCAGTGGGAGCTGGTGATGTTTTGTGAATCCAACTTAGGTGAATTATGTTCTTAGTTAATCGTAAACTTAAATTAATCCAATCCTAGCTTTAATTGAAGTTGCTCCATCTTTTTGTGTGGAAATGAAGGTGATTAGAGGGGGTATAGTGAAGTGTAAAGCCTGTTCTAGTTCTATTATTGTTTTCTAGTCAATGTCGATAAGCCGTAGCCTAAGTTCAACACCAACCAAGGTCGCTCCACTTTACAAAAAATATTTCATAACACCATTTAGATTGGGTAAAATTTGTTATTCATTTTATTGGTTATGTTTATGATTTCAATTTATCGATACAAACTTTTAAAACACCTTTTTATTTTGGTAATTTTTTTTTAAATATTTCTATTGATTTCATTACAATTTGAATTTATGGAAACATTATTTTAATTTATTTTTAATTTTTGGTACAATTTGGTATTATTTCATCACCATTTTAGAATGTTATAATTGCAAACGTTGCTTAGATTAAGAAAATCCGTAACTTAATGATTAACGATTTAAAATACTTGAAAAAATAATTTTTGAACAAATAAAACATAACTTTGAGATTTTAAAAAAGTGTTAAGCAACCATGTCTATTTTTTTGCCTTATCTAATAGTAACACAATAGAAATATTTAATTGACAACTAAAATGTGAAGTTTGCTAAAACTTTAAAGAAATGAAAAATTGAATGTATGAAAAGTGGAATTTGAGTCCTTGGCTACCTTTTCCGACGAGGTTCTGTTTAAGCTTTTATGGATTCCGCATGTGTGTGCCTAACAATGGAATCCTGCCACGCCCCACTCTTCTGCACACGCCCTATTTGTGGGTCGGATTAGAGGCAAACTAATTGTGCGATTTGAATGGATTTTGGGTTTCAGTTTTGTTTGTTCGGCAATAACATTTGCTTTGCTTTTTAACAATTGCCAAAGAGTCTCTGAATGCTCTCCTCTTCCTGCCGTCTGTAATTTCCATTTCCATTTACTGTGATTAACGTGGACTCCTGCAGGACCTGAACCTAAGCAGTCTTTGGGAAGGACCCTCCTGGACTTCATTTACAAGCTGCATCGGCTTAGGGAAAAGCTTATAGCGGATGAGGGCATAATGAGGGAGGCAAATGGCGGGGTTGGCAAACTTGGATTTAAAGCAAAGCACTTCTGTTTATGAAATGTGTTTTTATATTTAAATTCCAATGAACAGTGTATTTATCAAATTTATAAAAATGAATATGTATCGCAAAACCGACATTACTCTATCATTTTAAAACATATACTCATAAAAATGTATTCATTGTGGTTTTATAGAATGTAAAATTTCTTTTATATATATTATCAAGTCGACTTCTAATCTAAAGATTTAGAAATGTCTTGAGAGCAATATTTTTTTACCCATTCGCTTTATACCTTTGCCTAGATTTTGTGAGAAAGTTTTTTCTGTAAGGTCTTTTGTGTTAAGTTTGTCTTTAATATGTTTTCTTTTATTTTCAAATTTCAGAAAATGTTTATAAGGTCTAGTGCTAAATTTTGCTTAAATATTTTTCGTATTTAGCCTTAATTAATATTGCGAGTGAGCGAGTGTCCCTGGCTGGATTAGACATTTCCTGGGCCTGCAAAGCTTGCAGGACTTAAGCCAAAGCCTTCAAGGGATTGAAGCTGGGTGAGGCCCGTCGGAGAGGGAAAGACTGGCTGCTGCTGGAGGCACGGGCACCCGGCTCAGCTAGCTTAACACCTTGGCAAGCTCCTTGTGGATTTTGCGAGGCCAAGGGCCACCCAGATGCCACCCCCCATTTTGGATGCTGTCGTCAGCCATTTTGCATCTGACAATGACGAGGACAATAAGCTAATTGAGGCTGAGGTGGATGTCGCAGCGGGCGGACAGGCCGCAGAATCAGATACACACCAGCACGCTCGGATGGCCAAAAAATGTTTATTATCCCCGGTCGAGGGTTGACATGACGGCCCATGGTTGCGGATGTGGATGCGGATGAGGATGAGAATACGACCGGTTGCCATTGGATAATCTTCTGTTATGAGGCCGCGCAACAATGCGCACTGATAATCGCCTGTCTTTTTTCCAAAGTGATTGAAGATCTGACAAGTCAGTAAAAAATTTTATATTTATAATTTTATAAACATAGTTTAACTTTTTAACTACAAGAAAAGAAACAAACTTTGACAAGACAAAGTATCCTGGAAGCTTTATAAAACAAAACTATTTCGATTTCTTAATAAAATTTATTTTTTTTGTAAGAAGACCGCATAGTAAAATTTAGATAACTTTTAAACTAAAAGAATCGGACAGATTAACGGACAGACGAACGGACAGACAAACGGACAGAGGGGCATTTCGAATCAACTACTGTTGCTGATCAAGAATAAATATACTTAAAAGGTTCCAAAAATGTCTCCTTCACTGCGATGCAAACTTTTACTGAAATTAAAGTACTCTCTGCAAAGCTATAAAAAATATTTGAAAAAGTTTTCATATAAAAGTTTAAAAAGGGTTCTAAATTTTAATGCTTAAACATTTTTTGCCTTTATTAAAGGAATTGGTTTTGAGCAGAATTAGGTTCTTTGAATCATATTTAATTTCGACATAGTTTTTTGTCTGTCTAGTCTGTCAAACTGTTTCCTACTCCTTGCTTTGGCACATTTAAAATTAATCGAAAATCTTTTCTTCGGTATTATTACGAGCACTCGCCACTCGGGGCTGTGTGCACAAGGACCACAAACTTTAATCGATAGTCAAATAAGCGTCGGTCCCTTGTGAAACAAGGGGCAACGGGGAGGTGGGTTTTTGGGGGTTTTACAGGTATATACATACCTACATACATAAGGCATGTGTGGTATAAAGACATCCTTGCGATGGAGAGCTGAGCAGCTCCTTGCTCGGCTTTTGTGCTGTAATTTCTCTAACGTTTGTTTATATTTTATATCGAATGCGCCCCGGGCCGCATAAACGCAATAATCGCACATTTTATGGATTAAACTCACCTGCTTCATCTGCTAATCTACGGCAGGATTCTTGCCAAGAGCTATGACATGGGTCTGTTCTGATTGATGGATAGAAAAATAACTGGAGATGGTTTTGATTTAATTGGGTTTTAAAGTTTATAGTACAATTTAATATGACTAAGGATAAAAATAAAATTTAATTAGAATGATTGCAAATTCTTTTAATTATAACAAACATTTTATATAACTAAGGATAAAAACCGCAAAGGATACCCTTTATAAAAAAAATATTTCATTAGAATGATTGTAAAAAAATTTAATTATTTATAAAAACTTTCCCGCCTTTTCATCAAGCGGATTAAAAATTATTTATTTTTTTTATTATGCATATATGTATGAATCTTAAAAAATATAATAAATTTAACAAGAGTTGTTAATATAACGCATTTAGTTGACAAAACTTTACCGAACTCTTCGTCAAGAGAACTTACAATTATTTACTTTTTTTTGATGCAGATGTTTTAAAAATACATTTAATTATAAAACCTTTGTGGGCTCTTCATCAAGAGGATATATATAAGCAGTTCCTATCCCAGCATATTGCAACCTAAATCGGCTTTAATCCTGCCCCGAAACAATGGTCCTCCAATGTGCCATCATAATTCCTCTGCCAGTGCAATCCTTTCGCAATTAGTTTCCCCGGCACTCATGAATCTCTCCAAATGAGTTATTCATTATGCATATGCATTCGATTTGCACTACCGACTGCGACAGCGCAATATTAAATAATGAAATATTAAAATCGAATGCGACTGAAATGACTGTTGGCCACACATCCGCGTCCTCCGCATTGCCGTTTGGATCACGGAAAGGTGTTCATGTGAATAAATTGCAATTAACAATATTTTTATTTCAACAAACGAAATGTCGACCGACCTCCTCCCTTGGCTCCTATAAATAAGGAAAAAAAAACAGTCTGAGGGGAACGAGCTTGAGGGCAGGGAGGCAAACACATTTAATTAAAGGCAAATTTAATGGGTAAATATTTCATATGCTGCATATACATACATACGTACATTCGCGGGTAAAAAGAAATTGTCAAAAAAATGTATAAAAAATTCGCTTACCATTTTTTATCCGCCTACAGTGCGTGAAATATGTTTTCACATAAAACCTTTTGTAACTACAAAAATATTTAGAGCTTACATTAGTTTTAGAAATATTTAATGTATAAAATTACAGATAACATAGTAAAATCAAAAACGCAATTCAATAGTTAATATTTAAATTATTTTTATAAAATACAATCCGTTTTACTTAAATGTAATTTTAAACTCCAAAATTGATGAGCAAATTTAACTGTTTAATCAATTAAAAATTGTATTTAAACCAAAATCATATTCTTAAAAATATTAATAAGCTATACAAACTATATAATTTTAAAACGCACCGTACCTATCGCATAAAAAGCACAAATTTTATGTTCAACCACAAAAAAAAAAGCCTTTATGTCTATATGCGAGTAAATAGCAATAAACTGAAGAGTAGGGGGAAAATGGACCGGGAAGTGTATATTAAATTTCGTGTTGATACAGAACAGGAACGGAAAAAATTATGCGAAGCGTGCACTAGAAAAACAAAAGAAACACGAGAACGGTTTGCGACGGGGGAGTGGAAAAAAGAAATCAGAAAAATTAATAGAGTGCAAATATTTGTAGATTTTTACACGAACTATTAACGGGCAGCAAACAATAAAACCCGACGTAAAATCCAGAAGCCAGGATCACGGATTCGGGATTGGAGATTTTCGGGTAACTCGAGATCATATCGTACGGGATGGCCTATGCAAATATAAGTCAGGGCAATGACAGGGCACAAAATGGTGACTCAGGAATCGCAGAGGACCAAATAAAGGGTGAGACAGGGAGCCAAAAACTCAGGTCAAGATAGAATAAATTTGAATTTGAATTTGAATTTTAGCCATCGATTCGAGTCGTCGGAGTCTCTCTCACCTCAATGGGCCTGAACTTGCAGCTTCCGCTCTGCCAAAGGAAAATAACAAGATGGAAACTTTGGCAAAAGAAAAAAAACACAACAAAAAAAATTGGGGAGAGCAAACAAGCTGAAAAGGACACAATACAGTCCAAAGGAACAATTTGTCAGTCAAATTTCGGGTGGCAGAATGCAAGATAGCAGAAAGTCAGGGGCGGTGATATAAGTCCAACAGAGGGACACTTTGCAAAAAAGAATTAGTTACACTGATTTAGTGATATTAAAAACAAAAATTTCCCAGGATACTTATCAAAATGTATTTTAATTACATTCTGTAAATAAACATAAATGGAGTTGTACTCTCCTCTTGTCAATTTGAACTATTTTTTTGGATATGTTCTTTTTGTGAATGTTGAGGCTACTTAAAAAACTACACATATAAAATACTAATGTTTTAATGCCTAACAAAAGAAGTAAAATAAGATTAATATGAAGAAGAAGAAAAAAGATGGAGGTATACAAATATACCTTTTAATTTAAATGTTTTACATGATGGGCTAAGATTTAGAATTATTATTTTTTTTCAATTGCGATTCCGATTTGTGCCAATTTAAAAAAAGTATTTAAAAATCACTTACATATAAAAAAAATAGATAGATCACACATGTAATGCCATATTCTTTTAATGCTAACAATTTGGGATCTATCTTTTGTGATTGTGATTACTGACTTGTTAATATTTTATATCGATTATGTTATTATTTTACAATTTTATAATGTTCTATTTTAACACGACTTTTTCTCTAAGTGCAGGGGATGATTTGAGTGGCTTTCCCATCTTGTTTTGGCACTGCCCCCGATTCGCAATGCAAGAATGAGAATGGCCATCAAATGCCAGCAGAGGATATGCAGATACATCTGCCGCAGAGCGGAGAAGATGCAGATGCATATAGATTTTCCTGCCCCACCTCCATACCCATCCCCATCTGCCATTTCAGATCTTTTGTGTGGTCCGTGTCTGTGTGCAAATTGATTGGAGGCGAAGCCATTAAAGTGTCCATCGAAGCTGCTAACAGGCTGACCGCTGCCGCCCCCCAGTTTGCACCCATTTTCCACCCAGTTTCTCCCAATTTTCCTTTCCCATTTTCAGTTATCCTGGGATCTCCTATTACCCGGAGTGGCAGGTGTGAAAGCTTCTTGCCGGGTCTTCCCACTTATCATACAAAGTTTCCCAGCCCAAAGTTAAACAACTTCTGTTGGCATTTTCCTTTGACTTTTGGCGAGTTTTTTGTTTTATTTTCGGTTCTCAATAAGTTAGTTTTAACATTAGAATTAATCGTTGGAGGAATGACACTTAACGTTCGTCTAGTATGGTATGTTTTGCTTATTTATCAATAGGCTTTAATGGAGATTTGTATATTAGATGCAATTAACTTTGGACTTGGACACAGGACACGAAACAATTAAGACAAAATGCACATTCACACCTACATAGTTTAATACATGCACTCGCACACACATACGTGTTTACATAAATTTAATGACTGTACAGATTTTACTAAATATAATTAAGTTACTTTTCTAGTTCCTCTTAGTGTTTTTTTGTTTTTCAACTTATAACTTAGTAACAAAAAATGCTCAAAAATGTTATCCTTGTCTATATACAAAACAAAACTTATGAGATAAGGGCCATTTAAATTTACTCCTTGAACTTGATAATTTTAGATACTCAGTCATATAAACAATTCAATGAATAAATAAGTTTGTTAACTCAATTAACTAAGCTTAATAATTTTTAACGGATTGTAATTAAATGCAATTTGAAAGATATTTGTAAGAGTACCAGTACCAATCAAATCATAAAAAGTAAATATATATTTACTTATTTTAAATGACTTCTTAGCCCCTTTTCGACATTGATCAATTGGCCCTAGGAATATTCATACAACTTTTGGTTAGCTCTTCATATATACACTTAACCACTAGGCTACTGTTTAGGCCACTTCCAGATCGGATGATTCATCGGCATCGCTATACCCATTCGGATCGCTTTTGATGTGCACTAATTGCGTGGAATAGTGATCGGATCCGGGGCATTTTACGGATGCAGAACCATTTCCGGTGGTGCTGGTGGTGCCGCTGCTGCCGTTGGTGTTGGTGGTGCCATTGGTGGTGCTGCCACATTGCTCCTCCTGTAATTTTCGCAGCCGCTCCTGCTCCTCGCGTTTTTGCTTGCGCCACTTGGCCCGACGGTTTTTAAACCAAACCTGAAAAAATAAGAGGAAAAATAGTTTTTTAATTGGGGTCAATTTAAAACACTTTGTTTTTTATTAACTTAAATTTGTAGTATTAATTTTTAGCTATAAAAATTGCTATAAACACAGTATAACTCAACTGTTTCGCTATGCCAAGTTGTTCGGTTGAGTGGGTAGGTGACCTGGGTGGTTGGGTGGCTACCTAGGTTACTTTTAAGCGCGGGGCTTCAAAAACACTTTCATCCGTTTTGCTCGGAAATTCTTTCGTCTGCTCCTTGGGATTTCTGCTCATAAATATTTTAAGTAATTTTCGCCCCACTCCCTACTTTTTTTTTGCCCTACCAAGTCTTCCATTTCTCAGTCTTGGCATTTATCTTTTTGCCAGTTGCCAGGGACAGCAATCCACCCACTCCCATTTACTTTTCTCATTTTTCCGGATTTAATGAGATGACTTATTGTAATTGTAATTAAGTGAGAATTCAGAATGGGGTAGTTTAAGAGAAATGCAAAAATTGTATGTTTTTAATGAAAGTAAGGGTTCTAATTAATATGTAAAAAGGCCAAGTATTATATTTAAAATTGATAAGCCGTAGAAAAAATGAAATATTGTGACACAGGGGTTTTTGAAACATTTTTGTCCATTGCTTAATTCGAAGATTAACAAAAAGAGAATGTAATTCTAATACTGCATTTTCTTTTTACTCCTGTATTTATTTGTTCATTTTTGTATTTTTAATTAGTCTTAGAAAATTGTAGGATTAACTAACAGAAAATGAAAACAATTTTGTCGCTGTAATTTCGGTGTATTTCTGATAAGTCAAGCTAAAAAACCATATTCTTTTTTACTTCTGTATTTATTTGTTCTTTTTTTGTCTTTTTAATTAGTCTCTGGCCACGCCCATAGGCTTTTCTACCCCATCAACAAGCTTTGTAGCCCCCACTTTACCTTTTTTCCGCCTAAATCTCCACCCTTTGCTACTTAGTTAATTAAAACAAAAGGCAGCTGTGAAGTGACTTAGGGGTTAATCATCATCAGGAGGTTATCTCTTTCCGGGAAAAGGGAGCTTTGATGTTGGAGAGGAGGAATGCGAATCCCTTATGTAATCACCCTTGTGGGCAGTGAACCCATCTGTCTTGTCATTAGCCCCCAAAGCTACCCCAAAAAACCCACTCCTTTTCAGAGGGCGGAGTCTTTTCTCTCTCCGATTCTCCCTGCGATTCTCTATTTGTCCAATCCGAGTGCAATGGTGAGTTTGCAACCCCTATTTGTTTATTTGTCCGTCTGTTTGTTGATTATTTGCTGAATAAATACTGGGGAAATTCTGGGCGCAAAATTTGCATTTAGTCGTTGTCGGCCAGGAAAAAGTTTAATTAGAACAATTAGGAGCGGTGGAAAAGTTGATTTTCCATGATGTTATCATTGCAAGGAAAAAGTTGAGTTTTCTGTGGGGTTTGTTCAAATGTTTATGCAGCAAATCGACTGAATTTGTTGAAATAACATAGCGGAAGCGGAAGTGGAAAATGTGCAAATGACAGAGAAATGCGATAAACTTATAAGCAATTCTGAATTTCATATTTGAGCTCATTTAAGTTTGCTTGGAATTTATGAACATTTTTGCAGCTGCTTTTACGGACTTATTTGCTTAGGATTTCATTTTCTTTCTTTTTTTTTTGTTTTGCATTGCCCTAGCAACCTTTGAACTTTGCCAGTTGGCAACGCATTTGATGTCCTCGCCAAATGTCAGTTGAATTTTGCACTTATTTTTCATTTTAGCCCCGGCTTTATTAGATTTTTGACAACTCCCTTTTGTTTGTGTGTGTGTATATTTTACATATTTATTTTCATAATTTTCATAATTTTATGAGCTTAAGTTATTAAAACAACATAGACGACCACACAAATGCGTGGCGTTTTTCAAAAATTTTGCAGCAATGAATTTAGTCAGCTTAATTATGTCAACACAAACTAACTCCATAATTACCTATGCACCAGTTTTAATCCATAATTTCTAAAACCATAAAAACTAAACTACTTGCCACGGGCGATTTTTACCGCCTGATTGATTTTTTTCGCCATATTCGCTTATTATACTTTCATATTTTAATTAAATGTTAGCCAGCGAACCGCATTGAACCCTAATCCGGCGGAACTGCAAAATCCGGGTTTGGGTTTGGGTTTGGCCATGTGTGTGCGCCGGAAAAAAACGCGCGCTCTGCTAATCCCGTAATTTGTACGGCCAACAGTGTTTCCGGACGAGCTTTCCTCCACCTCCAGCTCCACCTCCAATCCTCCGCCTCCGCCACGCGTTTAAAATCTGACTAACGCACAACAATTTGGCCATAACCGCGGGCGCGTTTTTTGCCGCTTTTCGCTGGCTGTGGCACGCTTGCAAAAATCGCAGTGGAAATTTGGAGAAATTAAATAAACAAAGAAGCAAAAAAGTGGCTGTTCCAAGGGGGCAGAATCTGAATCTGAATCTGTGTGGTGTGCGATTTCCCATGTTGATTGATGGCGATGGCTTCAACAACATGGCAACAAAATGGCGAAACTGCATTCGCCCACTGAGATAAATGAATGTTTTAAAACCGGAAAAGGCTTCGTTATGTCACTTGAATCACAAAATCCATAAAAAGGTATAAAAACTGAAAATACTGCCATAAAATCAGAGAAATATAAATATTTATAACCAAAGAATAACTTCTTTATAATACGCAAAAGGTTAAATATACATACTTAAGTGTTGATATCAAAAAGATGAAAATCAGAAACTCCATTCCAAATTCCCTTTCGTTCCAAAAAAGAATAATCGAATTTAATATTATGAACTGGTAATATTATCTTAAAATCAGAAATAAAATACTTGTTAAGATAAGCTTTATAAAATCAAAAAAAAAAAAAAAAAAAAATTAGAAACTTTCTTAACAATTAGCTTTATGGCTTATTATACCCTGAGTATAAAGAGTACTTGTTCTTGCAGTGTAAAAAGGAGTCCGATGCAGATTTTTTTTGGACCGGGAAGCGCCGAACTTGACATGCATTGGGTCGCGCCTTGGAGTCGCGAGATCTCTGGAACCACTGGCCACTGCAAATATTGCCACAGATTTTTCATCCAAAAGCGCATAAATCGCTGATACCGCAGGAAAATCGCGGGGGCGGCGGTGGAAAGTCCAGGGGGCAAAAAGGCCGAAGAGGCACACATTCGAAAACGTGCATGAAATCCATTGAACAAACAGACCCACGGCAGTTGATTTTTAATTAACTACAAAAGCGCTTTACGCTACGCCACCCCCCTCTTTCCCCCCTGGGAAATTGGGAAATTCTGGGGGCGGGGCATTATGGCAGACTGACCATCATGATGTGTGTGTGTGTGTGTGTGTTGTTTTTGGGTTTTTTGGCCAGTCTGCTGACTGCGTGGCTGGATTACCATGAAATGTTTCCCAAAAATGCAGCACATAGTTGCACTGCTATGATAACTTTGCGCTTCGTTAATCGCTGCACCTGCTCTTTCGATTTTTCCCTTCTAACATTTTCGTGTTTTTCCAGGACCGGAAAATTTTGTCCCCGGCAAAAGCCAAAATACAATGAAACATCGCCAGCAAGGAGACCACAAAATAAAAAGGAAAATTACATTTTTGGCTGGGTCTAGGGGAGGTTAATAAAAATGGGAGGGGCAGATTGGGTGGAAAATGGGGCGGAGGAAAGCACAAAATGGCGGCTGCCTTTTTGCCAGTCGCTCTAATTAGTGCAAAATGGCAGCACAAGTCGGTTGGAAACTTCGTCACCAAAATGGGTGGGTGTTGCCTTTCCCCCCAATTTTCTCTTACCAGTTTTCCACCAACCTTTTTTGGCAATTTGTTGACGCTGGTTTCGCCGTGTTGTTGGATTAAAATCGTGGAGCCATGAAAATTGCTCGTTACGCACATTCCCTCGCCCTTTTATTTAAGTGCAGGTACATAAGGGTTAAGTGCATATGTGCACTAATTAAAGAGCTGATATAGTATAACAATCAGTATAAAGTTAAGAGCTTCAAAATTCTTTTTTAAGAACAAAAATTAATTCCAATGACAGCGCTACTGATCGCATTAGTACCAAATTGAAATCGCCAGAAAAGGTGCTGGAAATCCACCAACAAATGCATGTTGGAAGTGCAAGAAAAAGAAGCAGTAAATTGCTGGAAGTGTGAGAGAAGGGAGAGCAAATGAATGGAATTGTGAGAGCAAGAAGAAGAATTCATTTGCAAAAGTGAAAAGCTGCGACGTACAATATTTTTTCGGTGGTTTAAATTGCAATAAATAGTCACAAATTATTTAAATCAATTAAGAATATTGTTGTTTGTGTTGTGCACTTAAGGATTTAACAAAACGGCATTGCAGCTTTACTATTTGAACCGTTTTCTTGGCTTTTTGATTTGGAAGACAAAGTGCAATGGCGGCGGTGCAAATTCAGTGATCTAGCCCACGAGTTTTTATTGCTTTAAATAACCAAAAGATAAGCGCAATTTTATGTCGGATAAGAGTTAATTAATTTGTCAAATCAATATAAACTTAAAGATGCTAAAACTTCGATAATGACGCTTTTCAACAAAGAAAAAAAAAACAGCAATGTGTATATATGTATGCATGTGTGTGTGAGCTTTCTGCCTGTCAAGCATTCATGCATACATACATACATGCATACCTGCAGCGGACATTTTTTTATTTGTTGTTTTTCGAATTGGAAAGCCAACTTAAATGTCCAGATAAGGTGCTGGAAGAGACACAGTAAATTGCTGGAAGTGTGAGAGAAGGGAGAGCAAATGAATGGAATTATGAGAGCAAGAAGAAGAATTCATTTGCAAAAGTGAAAAGCTGCGGCGTACAATGTGTTTTTCGGTGGTTTAAATTGCAATAAATAGTCACAAATTATTTAAATCAATTAAGAATATTGTTGTTTGTGTTGTGCACTTAAAGGTTCAACAAAAAGGCATTGCAGCTTTACTATTTGGCAACCGTTTTTTTGGCTTATTGATTTGGAAGGCAAAGTGCAATGGCGGTGCAAATTCAGTGCTCTAGTCCACGAGTTTTTATTCATTTAAATAACCAAAAGAAAAGCGCATTTTTATGTCGGATAAGAGTTAATTAAGTTGTCAAATCATTATGAACTTAAAGATGCTAGAACTTCAATGATGACGCTTTTCAACCAAGAAAAAAACGGCAATGCGTACATAGGCATGCATGTGTGTGTGGGCTTTCTGCCTGACAAGCATTCATGCATACATACATGCATACCTGTGGCGGCCATTTTTTTATTTGTTCTTTCTAAATGGAAATGCAATTTTAATTGTTTTTGTATTAATGATTCAATATTAAGTGATACATAACTAATTAATTTAAATAAATCCAAGTTCGCGTGTGTACAAAATGCATAGTAGCAATGTCAAGTATGGATTGTACGGCAACATCATCATCAGTCATTCATTTATTCAGAATGGCAAAGCATAGAAGAAATGAGAAGAAAGGAGAAAGGAGAACATAAACTAAATTGGTGAGTGGAAATTTTTACTTTAATACTTTCCATAATTTTTTAAGATATTCCAGTTCAGAGGAACGAAATATTTGTTCTTAACAAAATCAAAAGTGCGCAATTATGAACTGTGATGCGGATTATAGGAATATTTAAATTTCGACCATAAGTCAGAAAAAGATGATCCTTTATTTTTCTGACATTTTGCCCATTAAAATGAATGAATTTTCACCCTCAAAAAACGGTAAGTAACCATATTTTTCTGGAACTATATTACTGCTAATCGCCGACACGGGCGACCTTTTAAAAGCTTAGCAAGGAGTGCACCTGTCCCTTACCTTTTGTATCACCCACCCACCCACTCACTTTTGCGTTTTTTGTGTAAATTTATGCAGCTTTGAGGGCCCACTTCTCCCCCAGCAATAATATTTGTCTATGGTTACACGCTTCGACAGCCAAAACTGTAAAGAAAACATGGGAAAAGTGTCTCTTCCCCTCGAAAAAGTCCTGCCCTTTTCCATTTGCCATGCCTTGAGGTTATAAACGCACTTTGCTGCCCGCAAATTCTCGGGGGGATACAGAAAAATTCGCATGCTCGAAACTCAAGTGTTTGAATAATGGAAAATTATGAAAAATTATAACAACAGCATTTACTGCAGGGAGTTTGGGGTGTGAGATTTGCGGAGGGAAAGTGGGTGGTTGAGTGGCCCACTCAGTGGGTGGTGGTTGGTTGGGTGGTTTGTGACCTCGGGTAAAATTAACGAAAATCTGATGATTCCAGCTCATTGCCGTTTTTAATTCAATTTCGAGGCTAAACAAACATCGAAGAAGGAGATGTGTTTATTGTATCTAAGGAAAGACAACAATAATAATAATAAAGAAGCAATATTTTAGTTAATTGCCAACGCAGGTGGCCCAGCAGAACCCCTTTTGAGATTGAGAAGCCTCTCAATTGTGCAACTTCAAAGCGGCAACGCTTGAGCCATGGGATGATCCTTGAAAGAAAGGCAGTAGGGTGACAAGCCCTTTTCAAGTCCTGGCCAAAACAAAACGACAAAGTAGAAGAAAACAGCAGACACAACACAGATCAGTTCACAATGGAGGAGTGATGAGTGGGCACATTCTTCTGCCTGCCGTTTCTTACCACTCTCTATGTGAGTCTGCGAAAGGGTAACATCAATATTTGTAGAGTTGAGCGATCGGAACGAGAGAGAGAGAGAGAGGGGAGCACAAATTATGCCAAGCTGATGATTACTAATTTCTTGGCGACGACCGAAGGCAAATATTTAAAGTCCCCTTCAGGCATTCCTCCCATATATCCCTCTCAATCCCGCTGATCGGAGAACGAAATCACCGCGATCACTTGAGCTGCGGGATTAGGCGTATTTGACTTGCACGCACCAAAGAAGGTAAGGCGAAAAAAGAGAGCCAGACAGTCAAAGCGAACGAGTTTGTTTGCTTTACAGGTAGGGCTACTGTTTTACCCGATCTCGCTTCGATCCAACTCTATAGCGTCCAAACCAATCCGATCCACCAATACCAACCGACTCTCGAGTGTCTAAATAAGAATAATAATTGTAAATGATGAAGTCAAAATAAGCAGATCATTTATATGCTGAGCTATGTTTGGATGGGAAATGAATAATTACGCGTAGTTGGGAGGAAGTTTCGACAACAAATCTGTGAGAACCGAGCTCTATTTAAGTAAGCGAAGATCTTACGTAAATACAAAATGTTTTTTTACTTTTTCTGTGAATTTGATATACAAGTTTTATAAAGAAAAAACTCTTCTAATCAAATAAGTTTTCATCGGTTTTCTGATGCCTTAAATATTAATCTTGATTACTCCATGAAAGGGTTTTTATCTGCATGATTTCTAACCGAATGTGTTCCAATCGGTTACTTAACAGATCACCGATTAATATATATGTCCCCTGTGTAGGCTTTTATTTTTGTTCATTTTTTTCCTTCTGTTTTCTCTTTTGTTATTACTGCTGTTTGTCTTAGGCAAGATTTTCAATAATTATTGCCACTTATGGTCAGACTGGGGACTTAGGGAGACCGTCCCGGCATCGCGGGACGCAAGGGGTCTCGAGTGGCAACTCTTGGCATGCAAATATGCTAAACAGTAGCAGTCAAAAGCCGATGGTCCACGTTGGAAGCCAGAGCTTGAAGTTGATTATGCTGCTTAAGTCAATGACGAGCGATGACTGAGCACAAGATTGGGGATTGTGGATTGGGGATTGATGCCGTCTCTTTCTTCATCCACTTTGCTTGTCAGAGACAAGTTTGAAGTCTCTTTTTGTGTGTTGTATGTTAATTAGTCGCCCCCATGAGCTAGCAGATTTGAAACCACCGATTTCCATTTAGTTGAAATGTTGGAAGACATTCCCCCATAGTATTTTCTTCTTTTTTTTTAGAGAACTCCCTCATTAAACTCACAACCTGCATTCTAATCCGCTTTGGATTCGAATGTTGGCCGCGGGTTAAATTTGTCGCCTAATCAAAAAGCAGGCGTCAATATGCCTGCGGGTTAAGTAACGCCGCTCATTATCCTAAATGTTTAGTAATGTTAATGTATAAGTTGTCTTAAGCTGAAGGCTAAACATAAGCCCACACCCCGTCGAGTGTCAACAAATGTCGCACTTGTCCTCCTTCCTTCCTCGTTCCAAAAGGTGAGGGTGTTCAAAGAAGGGGTTTCACATTGGGGTTGGATGGGTTAGGTTAAACATTTGACCGGTTGACAAACATATTGCCAGGGAAACGGGGAAACTAAGGGGTCCCGAAAAGCGTTGTTAATCTGTATCAAAGACGCGAAATAGCAACCCATCAAGGCACCAAAAATGTGAACAAATTAAATTGTCAACTTTTGCAGTCACTTTCCTCCTTGGTGACCTCTCAATTTGTTTGTTTGTTGTCGGGTTTCCTCGACACTAATGGACTTTGAATCACAATTGTCGATGTTAAAGGGATGGTTCATCCCTCGGGGGCCCTCGGGGTGGGATTTACAAGGACGCAGAAGACGGAATCGGAATCGGAATCCCTCCATATTTACATTACCAATGATACGATTCAGGGACAACCACCAAGCAAATAACCATCACCCTCCGTTTAAACATGCGGTTGTATCCCAAGTCCCATTACCCAAATTAAGTGAATCATTGGGATTGGCATTGTTTTGCTTTCGCCGGCAAAGAAGCCCCGCAAAATGTGCGCCGCTGACAACTAAATAAACAACGAGAAGTTCTCAGAGCAGAGAGATTGCGATGCAGATGCCAGCGATTCAGATTTGGAATCTGATTCATGATGGTTAGTGGGTGAGAGCGGAGGTGTAGCACTCAATTGGTTTCACGCGGGGAATTAAAATGAGCGTGAAATTAGAGCCAAATATAAGAAAAGATTGTTGGTTTGATGGTCAAAATGGGGATGCGGGTGGCTGCTATAAAGTGAAGCCATGATTTCTGTTCATCACACATAAAACTTAGTTTGAAACCTTTATTGAATTGTGACTGATTTTGTAATTAAGTCATAAAAGGTTAGCTTTGATTTGTTTCTTGAAATTAAAAATTTCATAAATGAAACCAATTATGCTTATGGTACTGTAACACTAAAATACCAATATTATTTCAAACCATTTAAAATCACTTTACTCTTTAAAAAATCTTTGAGCATTTTATAGAGCAAATACAAGCCCTAAATCCACTTTATTAAAATAAGATTTACTCTGAACTCACCTCAACTCTTTCCTCCTTGAGATCTACTTTGAGGGCCAGTTGCTCCCTGAGCACCACATCCGGATAGTGGGTCTTGTCGAAGGTGGCCTCCAGTTGCTCCAACTGTTCCTCGGTGAAAATGGTGCGGTGGCGACGCTTTCTCTTCGGCGGTGGGCCATGGCCCAAATGCCCCAGGTGGTGCTGCCCGTGGCCGTGGTGGTGGGCGCCCAAATGCGGGTGGTGCGGATGGCCGTGGGTGTGGTGGGGGTGGTGTCCGTGACCCGCCAATCCGGCAGCTGCTCCACTCACATGCGCCTGCATCTGAGCAGCGGCCACATGCGCCACCGCAGCCGCGTGCATGTAGTTTGGATAAAAGTTGGGGTACGCCACTGCAGCGAAAGCAAAAAGGAAATTCATTATTCCCTGGCTGTAATAACAGTCATATTATCATCATGAGCAGTGGCAAGAGAGTCGGGGGCAAGTGGTATATTCCTGGGTAAATCCTTAAAAATGCGCATAACGAAACGCGGAAAATAAAACGACCGCCATGTTGGCTTTACAACAGAGGTAAAATATGTAGTTATAATTTAAAAGATTTTCCATTTGTTAATATAAAAACTAGTATACTAAAAAGTGAAATCAAAACACAATTTATAAATAATAAAATCAATTCTCACTAAAAGTGTTGCGTAGGATCATCCTAACTGAATCTACTGTATTGACCCCAGCTGTAAGCATATTTGAGGCTTCCGTTTCCGGTTGCAGCAAGCTAGGGGAAAAAAGTTGCGCCCAGGTTTTTAATATTCATGTCCTGCGGGGGAGCCTTTGAATGAATTTAAGCGGGATTCTGCATAAATCTCCGCCGAGATCCACGCTCGAATCAACACAAAACCCGGGCCCATCTTAAAGCCACCCCGGAAGCAGTTTTTCTGAGACTTAGACCCCAATGCAAATCCTCTCACCGCAAAATCGATGGCAAATGGAAGGGAAATGCGGAATCATCTTTCACGGATCATTGCCTAATTATGAATAATGCCATTCAGGATTCGCTTGGGAATGAGAGTGGTTCGTTTTAGTGGGTGAGACTGTCAGGATGAGAGTGGGTGAATGGGTGATTGCTGACTGCATGAGTGGATTTCCTCAAGGTGTTTTTGCAATAAGAGTTTGAAAAAAGATAGGAGAATAAAAATATTTGGAAAAGGTTACTCTGATTGAAGTAAATGAGGAATTAACAAAAGATTTGTGTAAAACTCAGCTTAAATCAGCTTAAAAAAGCTTTATAAAGGCCGTTTAATTCAATTCACAATTTTTGATCGAAATGTTAAGTTTCTATCGTTGGGATAAGTAAGATTAATTGCACAGCCTAAAATTTGGGTTTATATATAACAACAAAAGCGTCACACTTATTTTTTACAATTTCAAAATGGCAATAATAATGTATAAAATGACCAAGCTAATCTTACCTAGAAAATCGGAGGGAGAGGCGGCGAAACCACTGGCCGCTGCCGCCGCCAAGTGACCGAGATGCAGGCCGGGATGCTGCAGCATGGCAGGAACCCTCTGCGGTCGGATGGGACTGGCGGCGGCGCTGGAACTGGAGTTGGAGTTGGGCGAGGCGGGCGACTCGGCGCCACTCCGCTTCAGTCCCAAACTGATGCCATTCGAGGTCAGACCGTTTTGGCTGCCATTGCTGCCGATGTGGTTGCCTTGGCCCCCAGCAGCAGCAGATCCTCCAGCCTGTTGTTGCTGTTGCTGTTGTTGTCTGGAGCCCAAAATACTGTCGATGGTGAAGAGGGATGCCGCTGCAGCACCCACTCTTCTGTCCTCCTCCAGAATTGTCACTCCCGACTGGCTGCCGTCGTCGGAGGATGGGGTTTGGCTCTGTGATTGCTGGTGAGCATGCTGCTGCTGCTGGAGCACCGATTGCAGTCTCTGGCCCAAGTAGCCACATTGCTGGGAGTTCAGGAGCATGGCGGTGGTCAGGTGATAGGCGGCCGAGTTTCCCGGAGATCGGGAGATTTGCCTAGGTGGTTGCTGCTGCTCGCCAAGATCGCTGGGCGATCTTTTGAGGGTATAACCTGCCGGCGGGGAACTGGTCTCGACCATTTGAGCAAGCATAGCGGACGGGGGCGTGGGCGGTGGGGAGGGGCTGGGCGTGCTCACGACGGTGATCTTGAACTTGGCCTTGGAGGGCGGAATATCGGGCGTGGTGCTGGAGTTGTTGGTGCTGCCACCGCCTCCTCCTCCGTTTGTTGCGCCGCCCGCCAGCGTCGCCGGGGTCCACAGTGAGGAGAGAATCTTGAAGGCGTCTATGGACTTTTAGGCAGGAAAATGTTTTTGTTGTTGTTTGGTCCGGAAAATGTTTATTTATGGGAAACTCCACTGAACAAGGCTGATTTTTTATAATCTCAACGTAGTCTTTAGAACTTTTAAGTCAACCTTTTACACAAATCGTATTTTAGAAACTTTAAATAAGTGCAGATAAATCCACTAAGCCGCACTAGAAACACGCGCTAAAATCCCGTCGTGATTTTTTGGTAATTTTCACAGGTTTTTTCAGACACCGGGAACCCTTCTTGTCCGCTCGAGCTGCGAAACTGTTGTGAGAGCGTGCCGACCGACAAGTTGTCGAGTCGTCAGGCCAGTTCTTGCACAGATATAGATACAAACTTTCAGATATCAGATACAAGCGCACAGGCAGCAGTTGCTCTCTCTCCCTCGTTAAGCAGACATTTTTGGACTTCAACCAATGGAATCGTTGGCAAGCCACGCCCTCAAAGCTACCATGTTGTTTGGTAATGCTCTCTCTGTAAACCTACCTCCCTTTCTTTCTTTCTCTATATCTCTGTCTCTTGCGTTCGTTGATGGTGGTTGAAGGTGTGAGACGGGGTCTTTCAGTTTTGCTGGCTCTAAGGTTGCCAGGAGGTCTTGGATAAAGATGGCGCTTCGGAGATAATGTCCTCTTCACAAAACCCCCATCTCCCCCCATTTTCCCCATTCTTTTTTTATTTTATTTTTTCGCTTTCTACTTACTTTCTTTGGCCACTGACAGTTATTTATACAGATAAAGTCATCACTGACAGTTCCCGAGGCCCCCCAAAGGAAAGAGATAGCTGTCGAGAGTGTGATAGAGAAGGGGAGAAGGTGTGTGTGCTAGAGTTGGCTATACATCAGCTCTCTCTCTCTCTCTCTATCTCTTTTGCCCTTTCACCAAAGTGGCGCATAAAAATGTTGATGAAAATTATGGGTGGCAAAAAGGTTGGCTCTCTTCTCGCTTTCATGGGACTTTCAGCTGCCTCTGCCGGCGCTGTATCTTAAGAAGATAATGACTAAATTAATGCTTTTATGTTTTTGGCAACACATAAACATCATTATGCGCTCAATCCGCCCATGGAGATGCGCCGTTTCTTGCCCCCTTCTTCCGCGTTTCTCTTCTTCTTTCTTCGGGGGGTTAAAGGTTACATAGAGTAGTGATGAATGCAAAGGACAATATACAGAAGGAGTGAAGCTTATGCGGGAGACGAAATAGGGAGAGCTCTACAAATAATTTACAGCACTTTGGTGACCCTCATCGCTATTGTTCCACCTAGTATGTGTGCATATGAAAATATTTTAATCTAAAGTTTCCACATCAAACATGCCCAAGTGCAAAATCCCCAATGGCCCCCAGGATATCCCCTTTCCCTCCCCCTTCTCAAATGCAGGAAAACAAAAGCTAAGCTACGACTAATGATAAATGCAACTCTGGCAAGCCACTCACACAAACACAAGTGAAAAGCCAGCCAGGGAAAGCGAATGAAGCGAAAAGTCCCCACAATGTGTGTGGAGGTTAAAACATTGAAATTACTTAGAAAAAAAGTTAACAAATAATATTGATTTAAAATGCCAAATTTGTTTTTAATATATTGCGATGAATTTATTGTTATTAAACATTTTAATACAATATATATATTTTAAAATTGTTAGGTGTTTTATATTTGTGTATACCGATTTTTTGCAATTTGGATACTTAAAGACTGCTCAACTCGACGTTTATTTCTGTGTATGATGGACGACAGTGGGGCCCTGAGAGGGAAGCTTTCATAAATGCATATATTTGACAGTGTGTGGTGGTAGATGTGTTTAACTGAATGGAGGGAGAGAAGCGGTCCTGTCACATGTTGTAAAAGGATGAAAGGATGACGGCTGATGACGTCGAATGTGGCCAAATGCTTTTAGAAATTATTGAATAATTAAGCAGGCCAAAGACCACAGGACCAGGATATTTTCCTTCCCTCTTTCTCTCCGAATCTCAGTGGATTCTCCATCGTGGGTTTTGCTATTTGCCTTTGCACTGAACTTCTTACATGGCCAAAAACTCCCGACGGGAAAACCGATGATGGTGATGAAATATAGGAGAAAAGTTGGAGGAAGCACTGGGAGTGCGCTTCCCGCTAAGCCTAAAAGTTTTGCTTCACCTTTTCTATTATTTTTTGTGCTTGCACGATTTTTTCTGTTACCATTTTCCACATGAAACTTTTTTATATTTTTTTTTCCTCCCAGATTGACCTGATTTTTTCTTTCACTTGCCGTGCACTTTTTGTTTTAGTTCGTAGATTGAATTTTAAATAAAAAATTAAATTAACTCGTCTAAGTATTGTATTTGGTTTTCGTTCTACCACTACCCCTTCGATTGGCTGTGCGAAAAAGTTCAATTGGCAAAGGACTAAACAAACATTGTGGAATAAAAGGTTTTTCTACTTTTCCATTTGAGCGCTGGGCAAAAAGTATGGGGAGAAATCTTCATCTTCTTCGAACTTTTTCTTGACTCCCTATGATGATGATTTTTATTTCGATTTTCTGTTGCCATTTCTCTTTCGACGCCCACGGCCACATTTTCCAGTTGTGCAAAATTAGAAAAGTTTTCCTCGCTCTCTCTCATTCTCCTTCTCTTTCTCTCTCTCTATGATTGTTTCTCAGAAGCGGAAAAACTGGGAGAGAAGAAGAAGAAGAAGGGGGGTGGGAAGGCGTGTGCTTTGCGTATTTGTCTTGTTAAAAATTTAAGCGAATTTCCTCGAGAAGCCAAATCGAAATCAGCAGCAGAATCCGCACCAGAATCGAAATCAGATTCTTTGGATTCAGCAGCTAAATCCCGTGCTGAGGATTTACAATTGCGGCTGAGTCGCCTGCTGCTGCCGACATTGATATGTTAATGAAACCTCGACGTGGAATCGAGCTAATCCCCGCCAGCAGCAGCAGCAGCAGCAGCAACCCCCGGATCGGATCATTCAATATGGTCACACCGGTTTCGCTTAGCAGTCAATTAAATATTTAATCCAAATATCGTTTTATACGTCGCACAGTCGAATCCAGTCCGAGGGTTTTTCAAGCAGATCCCAGAGGTGCACTGAAAAGAAAATATATGTTTATATTATTCCGGTATCACATGGAAGGCATCATGACCTTGGCGCGCTGTGTAATACAAATACAGAAGGGAAATTGGCAAATATACATGAAAATTCGTGATCAGGACTTAAGCTCGAATATGTTTTTTTTACCCGATTATCTCTCCTTAATTAAAAGCTTAAGCTCAACTTTCGCAAACTAATAAATCGTAAATATCTTCCCTGTGCCATTCCTAATAACGATCAATTAGGAAGGATAACTACAGTTATATACAAACTAAATTTAATTTAATCCAATTCTTAATTTCTTATATAACGTGAGTTATTGAAAAACTCCGTTTGATAACGTTTTCGCAGTGTAGAGAATATAAGCAATCCATGGCAATGGCTGTCGCATCAAGGGATCAGTCAGTTCAGGGATCAGGGATAAGTTTAATCCAGCGATATGCGTAAGCGTGCAAATTGCATCGATTACGCATGGCGAGGAAGAGAAAGAGACGGAAAGATCGGATCAGAAAGAGAGGGACAGATGGAGACAAAAGGTGCAATAAAACCAAAAAAAAACCCGAGCGGATGAATGGAAGCGATATTGAAAGAACGATTTCGGGGCGTGAGTCAAAACCAAAATGGTCGACAAACGGACCGCCGATCAAGGATTGGAGTGTGCGGAAAAGAGAGGGAGATAGAGCGGAAAAGAGACAGATAGCTGCCATCAGGAGCAGCTGCTTTTTTCCACATCCTAAGTAACCTTGTTTTGGGTTTGTATTTGCGCAAACAAGGCCACACTTTGGTCAGGACTTCATTCTCTCTCACTGTTTAATATTGAGCTATGAAGAGATTCCCGGCCTGTTTGATTTGTTTTGGGAACATATTTCTCGATAATTCCTCAATTTAGCTCTCCACAGAATAGAGCAATAAAACCAAGTGAGAAATCTATTGACAGATAACCTCCAAACAAATTCTGGTTTGAAGCCTGAAGGAATTTTGGTTTTTGGTATTTGTCAGCAAAAAAATTTTCAAAAATTTTGTATTACCTTAAAGAGATGTCTTATTTATTGCAATTTATTTTAAAAGTTACCTAGAACATGTTTTATAAAATTTACAGATAACCGCCATAGAAATTCTGGCAGGCGTGAAGACTTTGTTTGTTTTTTGAATATTTTTAACCAGAAGTTAGGAGCAAGACTAATGATTATAAAATTTAGTCTTCTCAATACTATTCGCATATTTAAAAACTGCAGTCAATATTATCTAAATATTAATCAAAAGTAAATGAAATATACCCACAATTATAAATTTCAGTTACTTGAGTTACACACGAGTTTATCTAATGGGAATTGTTTTCCTTTATTTTCTTGAAAAGAAAACACCGAACCAACTCTCCCTTTTCTCTGCTTAAAGGCTGTAATAATTGTTCGTGTTGATTTGATGCGTAATTAAAAATTTAAATTATGAAACCCGAGGATGTTTTGTGGGCGTGCGGGTGGAAAAAATATGGAAAACGGGTTGAAAAGGGCCAGTCAAATATTTGTCAAGTGGAAATGGCAGGGAAAACATCCTGAACGAAGGAGGTAAAAAAGGAGCCTGTCAAAAGGCAATCCCATTTGCAAGAACTTTTCCTTTTTACCGAAAATTACTTCAACTCAATTAATTAACCGAGTTTTTGCTTTGCAAAAAGACCTTTTACCTCTTTCTCTTTGTGCACTTTTGGAAACTTTATTTGACTTAACTCTTTCTTCGCAAATCTGGGAAATCATAGACGTCTGCAACTTCATCTCCTGGCCGATATCTCAAATGTTTTTGTTCGGGCTCTATGTATCCGTCACCTCAGACAAAACCAAACAAATTGGCAAACAAACAATTCGCAATAGAGAACTAAAATCAAACAAATAAAAAGATTGTAAAGGTGGAAAAAGGGAACTAAAAATATAGGCCCCAGGATTTAAAAAACACTCACAGAAAAGTGGTAAATAAAATTCATTACTCAGATCGTTAAAATCCTTTGGTTGCCAAAGGATCAAATTGAAAAATAATTATAATTTTATCGTATTTATATAACAAAAATATAAAACATTAAAGATGGAATTAAAAAGATTTTACCACTTTTTACAGTTTAATTAAAATGATTATAAATTTTAAAAATCAAATAAAGTTTACTATATAAAATAGAAAGATCTAAAAATCAAAATCAAAATAGTAGGAGAACATTGACGCATATATGAAATTTGGATGTAGATGTTGTTTTAAAGCTTTTCTATTTACCAATTCATTTATGTTTGGCAAGGGCTTATACAACCGAATACTCCAAATGTGGCTGGTTTAGTATTTTACTCAAGGCTTACAACCAGCTATTGTTAAACAGTTTTTTAACATGTCTTTTATATTTTTCTTCAGTGTAGAGACAGCTTCTCTAAGGGCTCTTTTTTGCAGCGTGTGTGGCGTGTTTGTTTTTCTCCGTGTTGCCCCGGCCTGTCGTCTTTTCTCGACTCATTCCCTATTTCCTTGTTATCCGCGTGTTCTCTATGTATTTGCCATGTTGTGTCGGGAATAAAAAACTAAGCATAACAAAACTACTGCCCAGGTCCTGTGTCTGGGGATCCTAACGATTTGGCTGATCGTTTTCCCGGTCGCTTTTCAATTGACCGTTGCAAATCGCAACAAGGATCAGCCGGGATAAGCCCAGTTGTATGGCAAACAGAGAGAGAGAGAGAGAGAGGAGTTTTCCCCCCTCCATTTCCCATTAGCTCTGCTCATTTTTTGTTTCGCTTCTCGTCCCTTTACTTCACACGCCCCGCAGAAGAAAGAAATGCTTTCTCCGCCATACTGTTCTCTTTTTTTTCCTTTATTTTTGCGGTGATTGGTGATGCGCATTTGATTGCCTCGATCCTACCATTTCAGGATATCCCTCGATCTCCGCCCGAACCTGTTATCCCTCTGTTCGTGTTTAAGTCCTTGGAAAATCGTTTTTTGCGCCTTCTCCATTTCCCTGTCGACTAATTGCGAGAGAAATCTGCTAAGACCTCCGGACCAGGACTAGATTGAGATTTAGATTGATTTCAACAGCAGCAGAAGCAGCAGCCGCCGCCGCTGCATCTGAATAAAAGGGTGTGAAGTGGAGGGCCACTTGAAAAATCTCGTTATCCTGTCAGCAGCAGGACTCTGGCTCCTTCGGCTGGGAAAACTGCCAGTCATTTATGAATTGGGTTGTGTTTTTGGACCTGGAAAAGTGGGGGAGAAGCGCTTGGGTGCCAAGTGCTTCGGCAGCTGTGATTTTGCCTGCAGCTCGCATATCGCTTACAGTCCGAAAGCAGATGAATGAAAGCAACCAACGATTCTGATTCCGATGCTGATTCTGTCACCCTTGTGCACTCAACAAAAAATTAACAGAAACACTTTTTTGGACTTACAAAATCAAATTACAAATCACTAGCTTTTACAATTAGTTTCGTAGAAATTTTAGAGCAAAATTTATAATAAATAATCATACTATAAATTAATAAATCCGCAAAAATCCTGCAAATCAAGGATATTTTAAAGCAGTTTACAAGAAAAAACTGTTAAGTTAGTAAGCCTCACATTGTAATATTTCAAAATTCTGTCTGAAGGTTACAAAATGGTTGAAAAATTAAATAAACAGACCAACTAGTAAGATTCACAGTTTTATTTTCACATACGCGTTTTTCTCCCGAGTGCAAATGAATGAAAAGAGCAGCAGTTCATTGTTTTGTCCTTTTCTTTTATTTTTCGCCCACAACACCAGCATGCAGGAAAAAAAAGCGACAAGGAGTGGGATCAGGAGCAGGCATCTCTTTTGTTGGGCTTAAGCACTAGTCCGGGCAGCATTTTCAGCCTGCAAGAAAGCATAAAACCCGAACCACTCAAAACGCCTCGACGGGACTCAATTGTTTGCGAGATCAATTTGCAACTTAATTGAAATCCATTTAAAGTAATGAGAGTTACTAACTTGTCCTGCGTTGACCCTACATCCTTGCGCTACCCTTCGCGGGTTCTTTGTTTTCACATTACCCTTGCTTTTGCTACCCTTTTCGGTGGCCGCAGGCTTTATTTTGATCCCGAGCTCAAGAATTATAAACCCACAGGGCACAGTATAGGGCCCGAGATACCTGTGGCATCCTCCCATATATCCTGATTGTTTCGATTGTTCCGATAGTCTAGATTGTCCAGTTGTCCTGCGGCCACAGATCTATTTGCGAGCCGTGCAAATGCAAATTGTCCCTAATGTTGCTCAAGTAAATAGCAATCTGTCAGCTCCCCGCGGCGAGGATTCTCTTTGGGATGTTCGAGTGCCCAAATGAGAACTGAGTCCGAAATGAACGAACTATTAAACTTTATTGAAAAATACAAATTCTTATAGCTTTATAAAATAACATTCAGACACAACATTAAACTACTAGTTTTGAGTGACAAAATAAGAACTGGCTCCGAAATAAGCAAACATCCCAAGATATTGTTTATTGCTCTTAAAAACTAAAAATATACGAGATACGAGCTAAAAATGACTAAAAAAAAGTGCTTTTAAACTGTTATAATTACGAGATTTGAGCCACGAGAATTCGGGACTTAATGTTTTATCAAAAATGTTGAAAGACAATAAGTTTATACAAGTTCTGTCTGCCAGTGTCAATTTTAGAAAGAAAATGGATACAATCAGAAAATAAACTAGTTCACAAACTCCCATCACAAATGCGAATGACTAGAATTAAAATATTTTTTTCCAACGATGCGCTCAAAAAAATATGCAAAATAAATGCGGCCAAAAAAATCGCTGGCCAAGTCCATTAAAAGGGAATAAGTGCGTGCAAATCCTGGCCGCAGGATGTTTTTCATATTATCAGAACGCATATTACTTCATCGAAAATGAAGAGCTTTCGTTTCCCCCGCAAGTTGGCAAAGTAAACATGTGTGTAAAGTGCTTTGGAAAAAGGGAGGGATGATGGGCGGGATTATGGCCCTGATATCCATATCTATAGCCATATCCATAACCATAACCACGCGCCTTTTTTCGTTACACTAAAACCGCAATACAAACACACCCACTTATATGGGTCGAGAAAGGAGGAAAGGAGAGGTACAGGGTATATAGAACACTGTGCACCACATTCAGGTTGATCCCCTTGTAAATCTCTAAATTGTTTTATGAACATATTGGCCGGCGAAGGTGTAAACCTAATTTTCCTTTATGACCCGACGACAGGCAGGTAAAGTGGAAGTGCTTCCACGGACTCTTTGTTCCGGCCCAGCAGGATGCCCTCTATATCAATCTGGCCTTTGTTTGGCCGCCTTATTTAAATCGAACCGCTGGCCAATTTGCATTCGCACTACAGCCAAATTGATCCGCCCTAATCCCAGTTTTAGTGTTTCAGTTCCGAACTTCTGAGATCCTTTGACCGACTGATAGACCGATCGACCGAGATTTACAAGAGCATGGGATTTGAATTTGCTAGAAAAACAAAACTCCTCTGCCTTTTCCTTTGGCTTTAACCTTACCCTTGGTCTGGCTGTATTTCTGGCTGGGATTGGCTTGGTCCTGGATCTGGATCGGGATTTGGAGGCGATCTGGCTTGGCTTCTGCTTTTGCTCCGGCTTTAACTTTGCGCTTGCCCTTTGCCAGAAAGGTTCGAACTGCAAATTGAAGTCAGTCCCCGTAGCCCGAAAAAGGCACTAGATTGCCTTTGAGGGGAAAGAAATTGAAAGGGATTTCTAAATTAAAGATACTGTAGATATTGATATTGTTTAATTACAATTAAAGCTTCAAGAAACCGCGAGTTACATGAAAACTAGTCGGGTTTTTTTAACTTTAGTTTTTGTTACAAACATTTTTTGTATGCTTTGCGAAAAATAATTTATATTTCTTTTAATTAGTTTATTTTTTATATATATGGGTTTTAAGAATAATATATACTAAAGAGCCATTGTGGCGCCATCTGATGTTCAGTTTCAACCCCAATTGTTCGTTTATAGCAGCATGTGGAATTGATAGCGCCACCTACAGTTTGTTTTCGTTAAAACCTGTATGGCAACTCTAGTCCCAACAATCGATTTGGCTCACTAGCAGATTTTTACCGATTGGCCAATCGGTAATTTTTAATAATATGTCAAAAAAATATTAATCCAAAAAATAATTATAATTATTTATTAAAAAATATCCAATGTTTTTTACATCTATAATTTACTTTTTCAAAACAATAAGTTTGGCTCTTGTGAAATGGTCACTCGATTTTTATAGCTGGCAACAATTTTTGTTTTGAAAAGATGGCAACACCTTACTTGTATTTGTTGTATTTGCTGGGAAGTAAACAAAAGTTGGACAAATGTTTAGATTTTAATAATAAGAGCTAATGCAGGAGAATAGATCGGAAGATATGGCCAGAAAAAGGTCCCGGAAAAGGAGCAAACGACGCCGACGCCGGCAGAAAAGTGAGGGGAAACCAAAACCGACACAAACAGCTCGAGATCAGTGGACCAATGCAGCTCAAAGTAATTATGTTATTAATAATAATACAGAATTATGTTAATCGGCGTCGTTTTAAACCACCAAATGTAGTATACCAAAGCCTATTTGAATGGCATCACAATCATGTTATGAGTCTTTGTCCCGGAAATATCCGGAATGGGGAAGAGGAATACGAGGATACCACTGAAACTGAAGAAGCACACTGCCTGGATTATGTCTACGAGAGTTCCTCGGATGATCAAGAGGACGAACCCATTGACGGGGAGTATCTGAAGTTCCTGGAGGTGACCATAAAGCATCAGCAGGAACTGAGAGACCTAAGAGCTGCCCAAATCACCACCTCTTTAGATTAGGTTTAGGATAACATTCGTTTCTTTTATAAAAAAAAAACAATTAGAACCCCACGGGTTAAATCAATATTCTGCGGAACTTCTATCTGACACGAGAAGCAGACAAACCTCCAATGTATACAATTATATCTGCATTTACATTTCATTGTTTGTAAAACTATATCGATAGTTTAAAAAAAAATAAGTTTAAATATACATTTTCTCTAATTTTGATTGGAAAATTGTATAGGTACACAGAAAAGGAGGCATGTCTGACCTTATAAAGTAATATGTATTCTTGATCCAGTACCACCATTCTTAACGATCTTGGAGGCAACTTTTCCAAGACGAAAAACAAAATTTGCGTAGGTCGAGAAAGAAATTTTACTGTGATTCCCGGAACTCTTTGTCTCCGTTTCTCTGCTACACTAACGAGATTCTCCGTTAATGAAGTTGTGCGAAGACAAAAATATTTTTGTCTTGCCAAAAGAGACGCACATTAACCCGACCAAGAGTAATGCGATGTCATTTATAATCGCGCAGGAAGAACCAGAAGAAAGCTTCGAATTGGGGCAAGACTAAAAATAGGAAGGGGGCTTAGAGTGGACGAAAGAGCATATTTCCCCTTTTGTGGGTCAGAGACAATGTCTGGTGATCGTGTGGGCGTGGCGTGTCGGGCATTAGCCAACATTTTTCGGCACTTTTCAGCAGAAAACCTAATTAAGACGTCAGACTTAACGTCCGTTGCCTTACTATCGGCCACCATCCTCTCCTGTCTCCTGTCCAAACTCCTCCTCCGAAGCTCTTTTCTCACCCTTTCCTCATTCTCCGCTGAAATCACGACTGGCGACGACAACTGCGAACGACCTTTCTAATGCCCGGCCACTGCATAAATCATGGCCCAAATGGCGGCCACCTGCAACCGGCAGCAGCAATTGCAGTATGCCAACTGCAACTGCAAGTGCACTGCGCAAAAATAGAACTGTAAAGTACAAAAGATAATCCAACTTTATTGTTTGGATTAAAGCATAAGCATGGTTTACTGGAACATTTATTAAAACTTGCAAACATACAAGTTTTAACAGGCAGCCAAGCTCGACCGTCCTTTGCCATTTCTGATCCGGTCACCGTTTGAAGCCCTTTATTTAAGAGAATAAATAATTAAAATTAAAAATTTTTTACTACATTTTTGCAAACAATTTATTTTTTTTTAAATGTAGTTAATAGGGCTGCGCCCGCAACGGGAACGGAAACTACAACTGAAATTTAAGCTAAAGCCAAAAACTGAGATGGGAACACTGGGGAATCACAGTTGGACATTCACCGAACAGGAGCGATAAAAGTTTAGTCAAATCGAAATTGAGATTTCAATAGAAAGTTTGACTCCACCCACAGTGGAGAAGAGCCATGGGCCAAATCAAGCAGAACAATAACAATGCTCTGCTCTGGCTAGCACAAATCTGATGCCATTTTAATCACTAAATATTGGGCATTACAAGTAATCAGTTTGCAAGCAAATATTACAAATTTGGAATGTTTTATAAAAGGATTTTTTAGTTTTTAACGGATTGTCCTTTATGAAATTTATATGCCTGGGTGACAAAAATCGGAAGACATGTTTTGTCTTAAATATTGGACTTGAAGTTTTAAAGACATTTTTTTAAAACAATGTCTTATTTATTGTTAAGCAAAAAATACAAAAGTTAGAAAATCTAGCCTGTCCCTATCATCACTATCCATTACCTGACTTTGTAAATTGATTTTTGAAATATTCTGTGCAATGGGACAAGTTGCTAATACAATTGTAACACAATGCAAAATATAAGCAAGAAGCCATATAAGCGGAAGCCCGGGAATCAACAACCAGAAGCCACTAAGCAAAATGGCTGCATTGAGGTTCAGGCCCAGAGAAAAAAGCAAGAGAGTGTGAAGGAGAGGCCTCTAATTAAATGGGTGTAGCTGCTGAATAAAGCTAATAATCGGCAGGAGGAGCTACGACAGCAGCAACATGTGGAGCTGAAGCGAAAACAAACTGGCCAAAAGGGCTATGGCCACCTGTTGCTGTTTGCTTTTTCGTCTCTGTCTTTGGGTTTTTCTCCCTCTTTTTTTTTGTTATTCGACGCCATGTTGCCTGTAGATTTACATGCGATTGCGATTGAACACCCCCAACTTTACAGATATGGCAAGACATCGCGGCATATGAATATTTTATGAGCTGGCAACCGGCTGTGGCCGTGGCTGTGGATGTGGTTGTGGTTGTGGAGGCCAACCAGGCGACAGTCGGGGAGCATTTGAAGTGCCAGACAAATTGTTGCCTACAAATCAATTAAATTGCTAATCAACAGCGACACAAAACTAAACGGCAGCAGCAGCAACAACAACAGCAACAACTTTTGCAGCTCCGGCAGCAACAAATCGTGTATTAGGCTCACAATTTAATGGAGCCGCATTCCAGAGGCAAAGTCTAGAAGCCATTGTTGGTTCCCTATCGCCAAAGCGACCACAAAAAATGCATAAACATATTGCAGATTGTTTTCTTCCCCTTCCCCCTTTTTTTGTGGGGGTTGGGGAGATAAATAAAGGGGCCAAACACAAAACAAAGCTGCCAGACTCGGACACAAACAAGTGCGCTGGAATTGGGCTGTGAGAGGGGAGGGGGTTAAGAGAGGCAAAGGGGGGTCAATGGGGGAGGGAGAAGAAAGACACGGTCAGAGGGAGAAGGAAACTAGCACGACCCGAAAAACCAAAGCTGCAGCAATAGCAACAGTAACAGAAACAGAAGCAACATGGAAACACCGCAGGCGGCATTTGACAAAAAATCAACTAGCCAACTAATATATGCATGAATATATTGAGAGGGAGCTGCAAAAGAAGCCAATGAGAATGGTGGATAAAATGAGACAAGGCTTATAAAAAATGGCAGAAGAGAAAAGGGTAATTAAATTAATGGGTGTCAAATAAAATTGTTTATCCACATAAAATTGGGAGATGGCTCAAAGGGGGTTAGGAAATTACCTTTAACCTGAGGCATTTATTTTTCATTTAAATATTACGTTTATAAATCCTTATAAATTACAAAATATTAGAAAAGTTCTTGAAACCTGAAGTGTAAATATAATCTTTAGCTACATAATATAAGGAAAGCCTCTTTCTTTTCCATATGACACCACCCACTGTTCTAGCCCCTGTTTCAGTTGTCACCACTCTTAACGAGAGCAAGCTATACGCCATTTGAGAGCTAACCGCTGTCGTAATTCATTTAATTCAAAGCTAAATCGAGTCCCAGATTTAGATTCAGGCTCAGCATCGGAATCGGATTCAGATTTAGACGCGGCAGGCTGAGACTCGCTTCCAGTTTCAGGTTACCACGCATGGAGCTTTTTTATGTAGTTCTCCATTTGTCGCCTGGCACTTTTCTAACTTGCTGTGGGAAAAGGAGTGCCGCTGGAGGCTGGAGGGGACTGGGAGGGGATCGGGGATGCTCGCCGAGAGGGTTGAGAAGCGTGAGAGTCGACAACAAACTGCGCCTGCGCACGCGTTCAATTAGCTGCAAATTGCAAATCGTGCGGCGCATGCGCAACGTCCCGATGCGATGTTGCCACAAACGCCGGCAACATGTTGCTGCTGCCTGAACACAACACAGAAAGAAATGGCTCGAAATCAATTGGATTTTGGTCTCATTATTATTATTTATATCAATATTTAAGGCACTTAACACTTCTCCGTGTTTAATAATTACTATAACAGATTGATAACCATTCTTTTTATGTTGTAATCATATAATATTCATTCTAAAAAACTTTCTCTTTTTCAAATCAATTTTTTCAATCCTTTTGAAATTTTCGTATCAAATCGAAATTAACTAAACAAATTATATGAAACTTTTCGTTATGTCATTCTTTTCTCGCCGTGCACGACAACGGCAACAGCAATACCAACGGCAGCAGTTGCTAATGTGTTGTCAACAAAACTCATGTTGACAGCAGAATCGAAAATATTTCATTTCAAATTTGTGCTGCTGCAGGTGTGGGAAAGAGAAAGGCTCCAAGGAGGTGTCGTTGTACACTGTTAATTGGGTGGTGTTTGGCTGCCTTTTGGGAGAGGTGGGCGGTGGTCGGGGTATGGTATGGTAGTTACCTTGAGAGAGACACATCCTGTCGGCGGGTTGCAACCATAACTCAGTTGCAGCCGCAGTGGCAGCATTTGCATGGAGGGAATCGAATTTCTTGCGGATAGATTCGAATGTTGCTGCTGAGTGAATGATAACTGACAGTTGAAACAGCCAGCAGGAAAAAACAAGCAGCAGCAGCCAACAATGCAAACATTGCAGTCACAGTGACAACATGTTGCTGCCGCATCCTGAGGGAAGTCGCCTGTTTTTGCGGCCTTCCCTCTGCTCCTCCGTTAAATGTCAATAAATATTGGCAATGCTCTCGTCCCAGACGCTGTCATTGTCATGGCCACTGCGGTTGCAACAGCAGCAACAAGACACTTGTAAAAATTTTTTAAAATATTCACCAGATTGGTTAATTATGCAACATTTTATAAATACAAGTATTTTACTTTCGAGTCTATAAAATTGTGAGAAAATACATCATGTGAGAAAATACATCATGTGAGAAAATACATCATTGTATTCTTTTTAAATAGAGAGATTTTGGCATTCTCCTGAAAGTTTTAAGTATTAAGTTAATGCTTTTTACCAAAAGCCTTCGTTAAGATTCAGTTTCAGGGTTGAATTTTAAAGAATTTTCCTGAGTGCAGGCAGCTGCGTGGAATGCCAGCAATGATCTCGCGTTGTGGCTCGTTTCTGTCGATTTCGAATGCGCACATAAATTCTATCAAACAAGCAAATGGAAATATTAAGGAAATTTAGACATGCTATCCTAAAGAGCGGGGTGGTGAGGTTGTGGGGTTTGAAAAAGAGACGATCCGCAGAGGATCCATGGGATAGTGAGTGGAGAGGGGGTGTTGGCGGCTGGAAAGTCAAAGCGACCGCCGCCAATTTCGAGGCGCGGCAATGGCAATCCATGGCATAATACCAGGGAGTATTATGGCCAAGTCAAAGGCTAGATCGGGTGAGTGAGTTGAGTGGCTGGCTGAAACCGAAACCAACCGCAGAGCCACATACATCATTTTCACACCAAAAAGCAATCCGCGGAGAAACCTCAAGGCGAGAATTATGAGCGACAACACGGCAACAACAAATGACTGCGGTGAATTTGCAGCTAATA